ATGAGGGGGTGAGTTTCCTTTAGCATCTGCTAAATTAGCAGGTTTCCTTTTCAGGAAACCTGACCCATAACCCAGAAAACCCAACCCAAGTGACCCACCGTGATTTTCCGATGCCGATTCCGGCCAACTCTGGGGGTAATTTTTGACGCCATCACCACCATCTTGAAGCTTTCACTTCCCTCTACAAAACCCACCCAAAAACAACCTTGATTAACCACCGTATGTGGTGGTGCGAGGCCATAAAAACCGACGAAAACCAACAGTACTCCGGCCACCCTTTTCATTTTTTCGGCAAATCGGCAAAGCGACGGCCAACGCCACCACCTGGAACTTGTATCCCATCATCCCGGGAGTAAATCCCGACCAAACTTGATCCCGTTCGACCACCGCAGGCGGCGAATAGACACCGAGAAGTTTTTTAGGCACCCGTCGACTTTATCGATAAAATTGACCATTTTCTGTCCACTTTTGGACTTCGTGGCAGATATAAAACTTGTTCCTCTTGTTGAGCCCTATCTTCTTGTAAATTTGGGTAGAATTTGGAGTTAGTCTAAAAAGTGGGTGTCCGGCAAGAATTTGGAGTTAGTAAAAAAAGTGGGTTTCCGGTTGCCGGAAACCACCATGCGCGGCAACGCTTGGGGGAGAATCTGTTTTCATGGATTTTGGACAGCGAGACATTCTTGATGTCCTGAGCCCATATCCAAAGACCATTTTTCGAAATTTGATACGATGGTTGGATTATTCAATTTTTCGGATAATTGTATCATCGTATGATTTTTGTAATTGACGACAATCCGACCGTTGGATCGTCGTGCAATTTTGTGAGCACCTTATTTATCAGTTGTTGGACCTTTGAGAACTTACGGATTGGAAATCTGACAAGCGGATCTTTCGGATTGAATAACCTTAGATTGTTGACCTTAGTGGACCTACCTTGTTGACGTTTGACGTTCTAGTCAACATGCTCTACTCTAGAGTGTCGTTTATCTTTAGTTTGTTGTTGAGGCTTGATGGAGCATAGTTGGCTCAACACGATGATGTGTCGTTCCTGGTTGACATGCGTCTCGATTTATGTGCAAGTGGCATTTGATCTCGTTTTATGTGTCAGTCTTATTAAGTTTCCTAAGTGGGGTTTGTGTGTTGTATTAGGTTCCTGGAGGCGGAAATGGTGAATCTAGAAGTGCAAATAACCCAGGTGAGTGACATTAATGTTATGTGATATGGTTATTACCCATGAAATTCCTTGTTATATACCATGTGGATATGACATGGATTTCCAAATGATTATATGGAAATGTGTGCTACTATGCTGTGTTTACTTGATGGTGTTATCAGAAATATATATATATATATATATATATATATATATATATATATATATATATATGCTTGAAATGATTGTGATATGTGAGGGTTAGTAGATGACCGCTAACCCAGTACATGGGGTAATGTGGGATATAATCGGAATATGCACCGTGTAGCAGTGGTACATGGATGGTCCTACTTGGTTAATCCGCAATGGGGGACCATACTACCTTGGGATCGTGCTTGGTTAATCCGCGATGGGTGATCCTTATTACTTAGGTATGGCCATACATACATATTTAGGGGTGATCATGCTTGGTTATTCCGCGATAGGTGATCACTATCTATTAGTATTCGTAGGAGTGACTCTGTTTGGTTAATCCGCTATGGGGGGTCATTACCTACATGATGTTCTCAGGAGTGGTTTTGCTTGGTTAATCCACAACGGGGGACCACATCCTAATCGGTTGCCTATTGTAGGCTTTGGTCGAACTGTCTCTCTATAGCCCTAGACTAGTATCCATTACATATATGAAAGATGAGATTGACAAGCCTGTGTGGCTCAATCTAGAAAGTGGTGATTGAATCAAATAGTTTACATGATGTTGTTGCCTAAAAGAGATCCGATTCGGATGTGACTCATTCCCACTCGTAATGAAGAATTGCAATAATGAAAAATGTACCAATCTCATTCCTACGCGTCATAGTATTGTGTGTCATTCCTACACAACTTCGGGTTGTGTGATGACTGAATGTTATCTTAATAGACGTGTGGTGAGATTCAAAATTGAATAACCATTCCTATACGTATAATGAGGTGTATGGTGGTTAAATTATAATATATGTGAAAATTGGACCCTTGTGATTATAGGAAAATGAGAAAGGCGAGTGGTGAGTCACAATCCGAAGAGAATGACAGAATAATATTGATGGTGATCACATTGACGGTTGATACGGTATACAGAAGAAGTGTCAAGTGTGGACATAGCACTACTTTGACATTTAATCATTTGATGTTGCTTATGTTGTATTATTGTCACTCACACGAGCTTCGTAGCTTATCCAGATTTTGATTTGCTCGGTGCACCATTCCTATGATGTAGGGTTATTTTGCAAAGTAACTGGTAGCAGTTAGAGGAGAAGATTTCAGGTGGTGTAACTATGAGGGCAATGCACTTGAGAGTAAGTTTTGCCATCATTTGTTATAAGTTATTCAGATGATGCTCTGATGTATATTATATGTATGAGTCTTAGCGACTCTATGTATTTTATATTGTACCGCTACTGTTATTCCGTCACGTGTTGATTTTGGGCATATCTCGGGATTGGGGCATGACATAACTAGTGAAAGCTGGATAGTATAATCATGTCATTGCCGAGTAATCTCAAGGCAATGACAAGCTGAGAATGTAACTGAGTAATCATGTCATTACTGAGTAATCTCAAAGTAATGACAAGTTGAAAGTATAACCATATAATCATGTCATTACCGCGTAATCTCAAGATATAATTGTAGTACCTCTTATTAGTGCAACTCCATCTCGCATATATATGCAAGCCATAATCAAACCAATAAACATCCAACAAAAGCCACAATCTATTTAACATTCGACCACAAGATCAATATTCGTATTTCCCAAACCTAGGTTTCAAAGCATTGTTTCGAATTATTAATACAAGAAACCACCACCACCTCAATCAACTCCTATTCACAAGTGTAAGCAATTACTAAATGCATCACTTTCGACTCTAGTCTTATTTAGATTACTTGGGATACTCATTCACACCATCAGATCCAAGTACTATTATGATTAACTTTAAATAGCATGGTTAAAATAAATGAAACATTTGAATGAAACACTTTTAGAAAATAAGTGAAGATGCTGTTTACAAATATAGATGCATCTGTATATAAAAGCTTTTGCATCTGTATATAAAAGCTTTGGCGGTTGGTACGTATACACTGCTAGAGATATAAGTAAGTTCATTGGAATATACATACATAGTTATAGTATTACGGTATAATTACTAAGAAAACAATTCCATCCCTTTCAGATTATGTATATATATATATATATATATATATTTGTTCTTCAGACATATGCAAAAGTTAATGTAAAACCAATGAGAACTTAAATAGATATCTCATACATAGGACAATTACCATATATGTTTTTTCAACATTTATATCGAAAAGTCAAATTGTTTCGAGAAAATTGTAGCAATGATCTCTTAACTAAAAATTCATGACTATTGATCCCTTAACTCCACAAAATGTGTAGTTATGGTCATTTTCGTCAATTCCGTCAGAACTTTTGTCAAAACAAGTAATGTTAGAATAATCATTGCTACAATCAGGTTAAAGTTGGAGAACTATTGCTCTAATTGGGTTAAAGTTAAGGGACAAGTTCTCCAAATTGCTTAAAGTTCAGGGGTCATTTCTACAATTTTCTCATCTAGTTTCCCATATTTACCTCCTGATTTAGCTTCACATGCATTGCAGATGACTCATTTTGACAGAAGTTTTAACGAAGTTGACGAAAAGGATCATAAATGCACGTTTTGAAGAGTTGAGAGACCAATGGTCGTGGATTTTAATTGATGGATCATTGCTCCAATTGAATCAAAGTTGAGGAATCACTGCTACAATTTCTCTCAAATGTTTCATATGTGAAAATAGGCATTTGTAAAGTTCGGAAAACATTGGCTTGTTCATGACATTACTTTAGTCTAAAGTAGGAGAGAGCTCTTCTCTCTACCAGTGAGAGTCCTTCGCACCTTAGTGTGAGTTTTAGCTTTCTCTTCCGGTTTTCTGTGTAGCCGCCGGCCCTGCTATGGCAGTCCATGCTTTTTCTATTTCCTTCTTATTTTCTTTTCCCTTTTTGTTGTCAGCAATAAGCCCACTCCCTTTTCCTTCCCGATCTACACCTTTCTTGCCTTTATTTTCACTATTTGGATCCCAAATTCTATATCTTCCATTTCCTTTAACACCCCCACCATTTGGCCTCACTATCTTTCCACTAAATCTCAAATCGATTCGCCTACCTTTTCTTGCGATTTTTCGCGTTCTAATAGGAGGGTGCGTAGAGCTTTGGCTCGGGTGTCCACACCACCACCCTTGTTGACCCCGGTTGGTCTTTCTCGGTGTTCGCCCTTGTTGGCGATGTCGCTCGTCGGATATTTCTTCCTGTGGGCTTCCTTTGTTTCTGGGTGGCGTACGTTTTGGTGGTTCGTGGAGGATGGTGCAGCCTTCTTCTTCTTCAACTTTGGTTTCTGGATGGTGATGGAGATTGGCTTCTAAGCTTCCTTATGAGGTGTGTTGGCGGTGGAGAGAGTTTCTACAGTAGCTTTAGAAACTTAGGGTTGTGTTTTGTTGTTTGTGGTTTGTGTATGTTGGGCTACAATGTAGAGTTGGGCTTGTTTGCTTTTTGTTCTTGGAGGTCCATGTTTGTTCTTTGTAATTATTGTGGTTTTGGACCTCTTTGTGTTTAATGTTTATGTGTTTTTCTCTTCTTGGTAATAATATTACCTTTTAACCAAAAAAAAAAAGGAGGGGGAACGGCACTGTACAATTTTGGGGTAGATTTCATTTTATTTACGAAATTTGCACTGAATCTCCCTGCCCCCTGATTTAACGTTATTTGCAAAATTGCCACTGGGTTTCAGAAAAGGGTTTTGGGTCTTTGGGCTGGATGTGGCCTTTTACTCGGGGAGAGAGACGGAAGGGGACGTGCGGGTGGGTGTCCTGTGGCTGATGCATCGGTCAGAGGGTTGTTGGAGGGATGGGAGGCCATGCCGCTCTGGGATCGAGATAGAGAGACAGAGGGAGAGGGAGACAGAGCGACAGAGAGAGAGAGAGGGAGAGGGTGGTTCGTTTTCCATTTGCTTCCTGGAAGTCGAAGCTCCAATTGCATCCATTGTCATTTCGATTTGGGAGAGGGTGGTTGCTGTAGCCTGTCGGTGAGATTGAGGGATGGGTGTGAGATTCGGTGAGGTGAAAGGTTACAGGGAGAAGGAGAGACAGGCAGAGAAAGGGGGAGGCGTGGGGTGAATAGGTCCCCATATGAACAAATCCATGCTCAGAACTAATTTAGGGTTAGGGTTCTGAAATTAATTTTCCCCCAATTTGCCCTCTCTCTTAAATCACCATATCCAGGTAAATCCTAATTGTAGATCAGACTTCTATTACAATTTGCTTTCTTTGTGAAATTTTATGGTAATTTACACTAAAGTCTGTGGCTTTTGAAATTCTATATGAAATTGTGAATGTTGTTCGGAATCGAGTCCGGCCAAGTTCTTTGCTAAATAGTGCGAAAATATGCATGATGGAACTAAATTACCTTTGTATCATCTACATTTACCCGTTATCATAACAGGATTTAAAATATAGAAACATACTGCTTATAGGATATTAAGGTTGAAGTCATTTAGTTCCAAAGATGCCATAACTAATGTATCATTGAGTGAAATGCCAGTTTACAAAGATATTGTGCTTATTTGTTTTAGGTGGATTACCAAAAGGAGCTCATAAAGTATTCTGCGAGCATGATCGACCTTGATCATTTGGATATTTAAAGGAGCCATTGATCAGGGGAAGACGACGAGTTGTGAACCTGTGTGCCAATTTTGCCAATTTTGCAGACAAGCAGAAACTCTGACACAGTGATCAAACAGGCTTTCAATTTTAATTTCTTTTTTCTGGTTTTAGTTTCAAGTTTTGGAAGCGTTCTCAATTTTTCAAAAATTTCATGAATTTATTGCATTTTTTAAAGCATGATCTGATTTTATTGTAATTTGAAATTTTTTGATCTGGGTATGCCTTTTTTATTATTTTTGCTAATTGGATCTGATTGTTTTGGTGTTCAGAGTATGGAAAGTAAAAAATTTCAACTTTGGCGAACAATTATCTCACTTGGACATATATATGGGTTGATGCAAAGGTAACCGATCACTTTCTTGAACCATAAATGCCGTTGTGAAGTTGTTGTTCTTAGCCAATTTTCTGTGGATCTATCTAGGATTGAGTTGGTTGTATATAATTTAAGCATTGAAGGTGAGGTGGTGTTGCTGTCATTTAAATAATGCTTTATATTTAGGGGATGACTTGCTAATGGACTTACTGCCCCGAAATCTGCGAAAAGAGTTTATGATCAGAACCCTGACGAGACCTTGAGTGCAAAAGCCTTTCGGTTTCATAAGTCTCAACAAATTTGAATGTCAAAGGAATAAAAATCTGCCCTTAAGCATCTCTATTCGACCAAGCATGAAATCCTAAGCACTTATCACCACAAAAAAATAAATAAATAAACAAGCTGAAAAACCATGACCAAAGGCACTTAACAGAGCCTTTCACCGGGTCAGAACCCACCATTCCAAGCAATATCCAGCAAGGTTTCACCTAAAGGCATATGACTCTTTTTATATGTTTTGCTCTTATTATACATTTAAAATGTCTTCCACTATTTAACAATTGTATCCTTATAAATTACCTATGAATTATCAACTTGAAGGGAAATTATAGGACATAAGAACATAGTTTGAACTGTGCTTAGTATTGTTCTGTTAAACATATTCGTACAGCCAAAGGCCTCTGTTAAATAATTTATATCTGCATTATGTCCTTCTCTATGAGTCTATGATTGCAATATTAGTGCTGTTCCTTACCAAAAAAATCTTTTAAAAATTAGGTTTCTCAGTTAGGTTAGTGTATGTTAGTATATGTTTAAAAATTACAAAAACAATTCATAATTCACGAACGTTCCTGGCTGGAAGGTAGGTTAGTGTATATTTAATTTAGCTCCCCTGTATTTTTTATTTTTTTGTTTTGTTGGGTGATGCAGTTTGATCGGATCCAGTTGTTGGATATTCCCTGAAGTACCAAGAAGGAACTGACTACTGGGATTTTTTTGGCAAGTAATAATTTTTAATTACTTACACGTTTTTTTTTTTTAATTTTAATTTATGATTTGATTGGCCCTTTCTTATATAAGTTTCGAGCCTCATAATTGTTGGACCATTGATATTGTTGAGTGTTATTAGTGAATGCGTTTTGAGTATGTTAGCTAATGGGTTATGTGTTGGGAGACTCACTTTGCATAAACAACTTGCAGTAGCTCATACATGTGACATAGCACTCCTTTTATTACAAATGGTTGATATTTCAAATGCTAGGAATGCAGTCCATAATATATACTTCGGTTATGAATTCTAATTACATAATTCTGTGGTGAGCTCAAGAGCTTTTGATTTGCTTAAGCCATATGGCGAGTTGCAGCCTCTTTCAACTTTGCTAATAAAGAATAAGCATATTTCAATATCTTCATTTTTCTTTTATGTTGAAATTAGAACGTAGTTTTTTCACATGAAAATTGAAGTTTTCCATGATTGAGAACTCTCTTTTTGTTCAAACTGTGTTACAAGTTTGTTTTTTTGTTTTCTTCCAGCAGGTGGACCTAAAAACAGACCAAGTATGCAAGGGAATGCTAGGATCAACGTATGAGAGGTAACTCTGCCTCTCATGTTAAATTTCTATTGTGGTATTTTTTTCATTAAATATTGGTCAAAACATTGTTTAGTATAAACCTAATCACAATACTAACAAGGAGATAGATTAGAAATAGAGAGGTTTTAGTTTGATTTAATGTTTACTTTAAAGATTTTGGATAATGATTAGGCCTGGCAAACGGGTCGTGTCAGTCGTGTTCGTGTCGTTTTCGTATAACACCTGTTATCTTAACGGGTCGTGTCGTGTCACACCCGTTATCTTAACGGGTCTTTAACAGGTCGTGTCACTTTACCCAACGGGTAAAGTGACCCGACCCGTTATGACCCGTTAAGAAAAATATATATTTTTTCTTAAATTTGCACATACCACACATTGCCACATAAATATTACTTCAAAACATTAAAACACATTTGTCGTTTAAGTACTACATCTACACTCGAAAATAAGAGCCTAATAAAAAAATAATACATACAATATTAATCTATTACAAATTTTAAATGTTCAAGGATATGCAAAATGAAACAGTTTTTGTTTTCAAGGTTGTGAAATCTTTCTCAAAAGTTTAAACCTCAATTTACAAAATCCTCGATTTACATCGATCATCATGAAATTGCATTGGAACTTTGGCTTGATCTATTGCCTTCAAGAGTTATGTTGATGATGTTTTCAGTAAGGTTTTCCACGTCATAACTATCTTCTGCATAAACTAAGCATAGCAAAACCAAACATTAAAAATCATTCAAATTATGAGAAGTTTACCAAAATAATTATGAAAAAAAATAAAACAATAGTACTATACCATACTTTTATTAAGTATAAACATAAGATTTTGTGGTATCCACTAGTATAAATATTTTAAATTGAAGATCGAATTCAATCATTGTATTCATATAAGGTCAAGGAGTGTAGTTGTAAAAAATCATCAAAATCGGAGTTAAATTAACCGTTAAATCGTGATTTTTCGTTTATAACCGTCGAAAAGTTTTGTCCCGCTACGTGCTCTCTGAATGTTTGTTTTTTGCAATTTTTGGCGTATACGATCTCGAAATATATACAAACATGTTTGACGGTTGGATCATTGAAACTAGTTTCGTAGAATGAGTATCCCATCAAAACAATAGATTCACTAATACTTAAAAGTTTATTCATACTTTTATTAAGTATAACATAAGATTTTGTGGTTTCCACTAGTGTAAATATTTTAAATTGAAGATCGAATTCAATCATTGTATTCATATAGGGTCAAGGAGTGTAGTTGTAAAAAATCATCAAAATCAGAGTTAAAATGACCGTTAAATCATGATTTTTCGTTATAACCGTCGAAAAGTTTTGTCCCGTTACTTGATCTCTGAATGTTTGTTTTTTGCAATTTTTGGCGTATGAAATCTCGAAGTATATATAAACATGTTTGACGGTTGGATCATTGAAACTAGTTTCGTAGAATGAGTATCCCATCAAAACAATAGATTCACTAATACTTAATAGTTTATTCATACTTTTATTAAGTATAGTATAAGATTTTGTGGTATCCACTAGTGTAAATATTTTAATTGAAGATTGAATTCAATCATTGTATTCATATAGGGTCAAGGAGTGTGGTTGTAAAAAAACATCAAAATCGGAGTTAAAATGACCGTTAAATCGTGATTTTTCGTTTATAACCGTCGAAAAGTTTTGTCCCGTTACTTGATCTCTGAATGTTTGTTTTTTGTAATTTTTGACGTATGCGATCTTGAAGTATATACAAACATGTTTGACGGTTGGATCTTTGAAACTAGTTTCGTAGAATGAGTATCCCATCAAAACAATGGATTCACTAATACGTAATAGTTTATTCATACTTTTATTAAGTATAATATAAGATTTTGTGGTTTCCACTAGTGTAAATATTTTAAATTGAAGATCGAATTCAATCATTGTATTCATATAAGGTCAAGGAGTGTAGCTGCAAAAAATTATCAAAAGCAGAGTTAAAATGACCGTTAAATCGTGATTTTTCTTTTTATAACCGTTGAAAAGTTTTGTCCCGTTAATTGATCTCTGAATGTTTGTTTTTTGTAATTTTTGACGTATGCGATCTCGAAGTATATACAAACATGTTTGACGGTTGGATCTTTGAAACTAGTTTCGTAGAATGAGTATCCCATCAAAACAATAGATTCACTAATACTTAATAGTTTATTCATACTTTTATTAAGTATAACATAAGATTTTGTGGTATCCACTAGTGTAAATATTTTAAATTGAAGATCGAATTCAATCATTGTATTCATATAAGGTCAAGGAGTGTAGTTGTAAAAAATCATCAAAATCGGAGTTAAATTAACCGTTAAATCGTGATTTTTTGTTTATAACCGTCGAAAAGTTTTGTCTCGTTACTTGCTCTCTGAATGTTTTTTTTTTGCAATTTTTGGTGTATGCGATCTCGAAATATATACAAACATGTTTGACAGTTGGATCATTGAAACTAGTTTCGTAGAATGAGTATCCCATTAAAACAATAGATTCACTAATATTTAAGAGTTTATTCATACTTTTATTAAGTATAACATAAGATTTTGTGGTATCCACTAGTGTAAATATTTTAAATTGAAGATCGAATTCAATCATTGTATTCATATAAGGTCAAGGAGTGTAGTTGTAAAAAATCATCAAAATCGGAGTTAAATTAACCGTTAAATCGTGATTTTTCGTTTATAACCGTCGAAAAGTTTTGTCATGTTACTTGCTCTCTGAATGTTTTTTTTTTGCAATTTTTGGCGTATGCGATCTCGAAATATATAAAAACATGTTTGACGGTTGGATCATTGAAAATAGTTTCGTAGAATGAGTATCCCATCAAAACAATATATTCAATAATACTTAAGAGTTTATTCATACTTTTATTAAGTATAACATAAGATTTTGTGGTATCTAGTGTAAATATTTTAAATTGAAGATCGAATTCAATCATTGTATTCATATAGGGTCAATGAGTGTGGTTGTAAAAAAACATCAAAATCAGAGTTAAAATGACCGTTAAATCGTGATTTTTCGTTTATAACGGTCGAAATGTTTTGTCCCGTTACTTGATATCTGAATGTTTGTTTTTTGCAATTTTTGGCGTATGCGATCTCGAAGTATATATAAACATGTTTGACGGTTGGATCATTGATTCTAGTTTCGTAGAATGAGTATCCCATCAAAACAATAGATTCATTAATACTTAATAGTTTATTCATACTTTTATTAAGTATAATATAAGATTTTGTGGTATCCACTAGTGTAAATATTTTAAATTGAAGATCGAATTCAATCATTGTATTCATATAAGGTCAAGGAGTGTGGTTGTAAAAAAACATCAAAATCGGAGTTAAAATGACCGTTAAATCGTGATTTTTCTTTTCATAACCGTCGAAAAGTTTTGTCCCGTTAATTGATCTCTGAATGTTTGTTTTTTTTAATTTTTGACGTATGCGATCTCAAAGTATATACAAACATGTTTGACGGTTGGATCTTTGAAACTAGTTTCGTAGAATGAGTATCCTATCAAAACAATAGATTCACTAATACTTAATAGTTTATTCATACTTTTATTAAGTATAATATAAGATTTTGTGGTATCCACTGGTGTAAATATTTTAAATTGAAGATCGAATTCATTACTTGTATTCATATAGGGTCAAGGAGTGTAGTTGTAAAAAATCATCAAAATCGGAGTTAAAATAACCGTTAAATCTTGATTTTTCGTTTATAACCGTCGAAAACTTTTGTCCCATTACTTGATCTCTGAATGTTTGTTTTTTGCAATTTTTGGCGTATGCGATCTCGAAGTATATACAAACATGTTTGACGGTTGGATCATTGAAACTAGTTTTGTAGAATGAGCATCCCATCAAAACAATAGATTCACTAATACTTAAGAGTTTATTCATACTTTTGTTAAGTATAACATAAGATTTTGTGGTATCCACTAGTGTAAATATTTTAAATTGAAGATTGAATTTAATCATTGTATTCATATAGGGTCAAGGAGTGTGGTTGTAAAAAATCATCAAAATCGGAGTTAAAATGACCGTTAAATCGTGATTTTTTGTTTATAACCGTAAAAAAGTTTTGTCCCGTTACTTGTTCTTTGAATGTTTGTTTTTTGCAATTTTTGGTGTATGCGATCTCGAAGTATATACAAACATGTTTGACGGTTGGATCGTTGAAATTAGTTTCGTATAATTCGTATCCCATGAAGTTCAATGGTGTGTGTGTGTATATATATATATTTATTTATTAAGTAGATTTAAATCTATTTATTTTGTATGTATAATTATTATAGTTTTTAGGAGTATAAAATTTAATATATATATATATAATTATTATAGTTAATATTTTGGGTATAATTATTATAGTATATATAATTATTATAATTATTATAGTTAATTTAATATATATATATATATATATAATTATTATAGTTTTTAAGGGTATAAAATTGTTAAATTAATATATATATATATATAATTATTATAGTATTTTTTTAGGGTTATAAATTATTAAATTAATATTCTGCTTATCGTGTATCGTGTTACCCACGTGTATACCCGAACAAACCCGTTATCTTAACAGGTGCTTATCGGGTTACCCGATAACGACCCGTTTCGTTATCGTGTCGACCCGAACACCTGTTAATTTCGTGTCGTGTCGTGTCGGGTTATCGGGTCGTGTCAGGAATTGCCAAGCCTAATAATGATTATGAATTTTGGTGATATTGCATATCTGCTTTTTTAACCATATTTATGCATACTGTTCATTTCAAGCATATCAATGTGACAGCTAAATGATTCAGTTTGCAGAACATGCTTAAAAATTATAGCTTTAACTAATCACTCATCTTTCATCTCTCTCCCTCTCTCTCACTCTTACAGTAATATACTGCCGGTTTGCTGGTAAATCATTTTTCATAAAAAGTATGCATTTTACTATTCCTAGCACAATCATTTGCATCAAGTTTCAGCATTTTGTTCTAATTTTTTCAAGTTATTTGGTACAGCTATTCATACTCTGATCACAATTGCTGAGAGTCTCAAGAGCAATTGAGTTGCTGTTGAAAAGAGTAAGTTGATATTTGACAAGTGTTGTGTTTGATTTCCAGTACTATTTTGATAAACATAGGCCCTGTTTGGCAGATCGGATAGGATTAGTTATACGGACGCGGGTGTTTGGCGCTCAATCGTACTAAATAAGCGCCAGATTAATTTAACCGGTTTGCTTATTTAAGAGGGTATATGCCGGATTAATAAAACCAACCAAAAGGCTCGGATTATTAGTCGGTCCTCTCGTGAACTCGGCCCTCTCTCTCTCGCCTTCTCTCGGCGTCGTCGTCGTCCTCCCCGTCACCTTCCTCGTCGTCCTCTCCTTGTGGCCTTCCCCGTCACCTTCCCCGTCACCTTCCTCGTCGCCTTCCCCGTCGCCTTCCATGTCGCCTTCCTCATCATCGTTCTCTCGGTGGCGTCGTCGTCCTCTCGCCTTCCCCGTCGCCTCGCTCGTCGTCGTTCTCTTAGCGTCGTCGTCGTCCTCCCCCGCAACTGGGTCTTGCAAAGAAACATGGTGCGGCGGAAAGATGATTTCAATTTGGGATTCTTCTGCAGTCGGGGAAGAAGAAGGGAGAGAGAGGGAGGGAATTTGGGGTGTGCGGCGGAGAGATCTGGGAAAAAAGTGATGGTTTCAGTTCATTTTTTTTTAATTTTATTTTTAGTTTTGATTTCTCCTATAATAACAAACACAATATAAATAATACGATCATTAGTCCGATACTGCACCAAACGCCTGACTAATTTAGTCAGTTACTATCCGATGGCTATTTATCCTATCCGACAGAAATAGTCAGTACAGTCCGAGTTGCCAAATGAGGCCATAATGGTTAATGTTGTGGGGCTACTACTGGAACAGCCATAAGCACCTCTACTGTTGTCTCGAAGCTGGATGGCGAAGATGGACGGATTGTGTTGAAGGCTCAGGTTCGTTATTTCCTTTTGATTTTACTGATCAAAGTTGTTATGTTACTCACTGATGGACTTTTGTAATAATTATGTGTTCCTAATACTAAAATTGTCCCTCTTTCTGTGTCATAGTTGGTGATTTTGTTGGGAAAGGCTGAAGAAGTCGAGGAGACTGCAGTTCCTGTGGTTGCAGCGTGAAGGCATATGTGATTCAGCAGAGTTTGAGTTGAAACTTGGATGATGAGTAGTAGCTGGGTAATTCATTAGAATAATAAGGATGTGTAAATGAGAAACAGGTTTAGCACTTTGCTTCCTAATGCATGTTTTCTTACATGCCCTTTGATATAAATAATGAGATTTTTTGCAGCTCACAGCTCTCTCTCTCTCTCTCTCTCTCTAAGGATGTATATATGGGAGACATGTTTAGCACTTTGCTTCCTAATGCATGTTTTCTTACATGCCCTTTGATATAAATAATGAGGTTTTTTGCAGCTCACATCTCTCTCTCTCTCTCTCTCTCTCTCTCTCTCTCTCTCTCTCTCTCTCTCTCTCTTTCTCTCTTTCTCTCTTTCTCTCTTTCTCTCTCTCTCTCTGTCTCTGTCTCTGTCTCTGTCTCTCTGTCTCTCTCTCACTCTCTCTCAGCTCACACACGCACACAGAAACTACCACATTGTTAGAAAAACTGAAGAAGCACTAGAATTTAGTGAGTCTGAAACGTTGAGGTTGACATTTAGGGTTCTCTTTCTTTTAGAGGCTGGAAGATATCTGGATATGCTTCAAATTTCAATTTTTGTGGCCAGATTTTAGTGACCTGTACGGTTTGTGTTGTGCTAAAAGCATGATTGTTTATGTTGGAGTGGTTTTAAGGGAATGTCCAACTGAGTTGGGCAGTTTTTGTTCATTCTGTTAAGGTGAGCGTCTTTGGAGGTATTGTGGGTATATTGTCCGAATTGGGGTTTTTAAAGTTGAAATTCAATCTGGGATTCTGAATTTTTTTTACAACTTAGTAATTTGTGGAGTTATTCTTAGTTTTTATCAAGAAATTTGATTTAGGTTTCATATATTTTGTGAAATTAGATACTTTTTTGTGAAGATTTTTTTTAATATATTGTTGTGGTAGTTAAGGTAATTTACGCGTTTGAAAAAGCTCGAGAGTTGAATGTGACAAAGTAAGCAGATCAGCATGTAAACCTGAAACCAAGAAGCTCAAACCCCGAGAATTCGATGGTTAGCCCTGTTTTCAGATTTGTTTGCTTCAGTTAATTTTGTTGTAAATTAATTAATAACATATTAGAGCGAAACCCTGTTGGTTATTGTGCTTTTTTATATAGGTAATTATATGTATTTTCTCTTCTTTGCATTTAGCAGTAATTAACCTTAATTATGTGACTCAAAATCTGGGGCAGCTTCTGGACCTTATTCTCAGGAAGGTAACATTTTTAATTATTTTCCTTATCATTTGATTGGGTTTTTAGTTGACGATTTCAATTTGGTGCCATTAAGCTATCACCCTCAGACCTCAAAATTCAGGTAACCCCATGATTTTAATATTGCTTCTCCTGTTTTATCTAATTATTGTTCTATGAATTGTATTCTTTAGTTAAATAATGATTAATTAGAATTTCTAGGAAAAAAACTCAGGCATTGTAGTGTTTGAAATGATAAATATAAATCCAATTTGGCCATTAGCCAGTCAGAGAACCTAATTTGGGAAGTAGGTTTTAAAGTTTCAATAGTTTCGTTGTGTGTAATTTTTTGTGCTTTGCCTACCGGGAATCTAATAACCAAAGGCTTGCTTATGTTTCTCAAATGGTTTTTAACTGTATGTTTCGTTTCTTTACTATTTTCAGATGATATAAATGATCAGTTCTGTGATGCTGTTAAGAAATGAATTTTGTGATGCTGTTAAGAATAAAGGATCTAATATATTTGATTTGTTGTCTACAGAGAACCAAGGAACTTGATAGCACAGATTTACTAAGTCAATTACCTGCTTTGCGATAGCTTCTTTCTCCCTTCTTGATTGCCAGGTGTGGATCCATGCATTTTACTTATATTTTTGTAATTTAATTATCCTCTTTCTCCCTTCTTTAGTGTTTGATCCTGAAATTAATTTGTGTGAGTCCTGATCTCTGTAATTTTGTGTAAAATTCAATGACTTTACCTTTTCTAATGCCTTTTTATTTTCTATTTTTGTCTTTGAGCTTCTGCTTTTTGGGCATTTTGGGTTCTATTTTTCTATTTCCCAGTCGACTGGAAATATTGAGGGGAGGGAGAGAGAAATTGCTCTGCTATAACCATGCTTCTATATTTCTTACGGGTTGGTATATTTGATAATTAGAAATGACAGCTTTACTTGATTGATGTTTTATTTTTCTGTATTCAATTTAAGGTACTATGAATTGGGACCCGACAATCCACCATACGCTGCCAAGTTCTACAACTGTTGTGGGGCTGCACTTCCAGTTTCCATGTTTTGTATGATGACGATTGATCCATGTAATATCTCTATTTTAAGTTTCATCATTTCATTCAGTCTTGCTCTTGCACTCTAACCAAGCTTCTGTATCTCCAATAATTTCATCTCTTTTGTATAAAAATGAAGTTGATGCGTAATTGGGTTTTTTTCTTAAGGTATGTTTTTTTTTTTCATTATCGAATTAATCTTTCCTGCTGTTGTTTATATAATTCTGAGGGGAGAGAGTTAATGGAATGGGGGTAAAAAAAATCAAGGGAAGGAAAGGGAAAGATGAGTGCATGGGTTGGCCTGAGTTTTTTTTAATTGGTTTGAGATTTTGTTTACGTTTGGGGGTTCTTTTGCCCTAACATTGTTTTGAATTCATATAGAATTTTGTTTATGTTTGGGGTTGTCATGTTCGTGTATTTAATTTGGTGTTTGGTAGTTTACATTATAGTTGTCGTCGGTTTTCTTAAAGGATAAATCCAAGCGATTTTCTGATGTATGTGCAAATGTTAACACTTTGTAGATTTTTAGTTTTTAAACAATAAGATAATGCAACCGTTCAGAGTGAGGGGAAGAATATAGGTGGAGGAGAATTATGTCTTTCAATGGAAATGCCGCATTCATATTTTTGTAATTGGTTACAGGGTTGAAAAAACAGTTGAGCGCTGTTGTTTGTGTCTTGATAATTTTGTCAAGTTTTAAAAACAGTGAAAAGAAATTAATTTTATGAGGTAAAGCAAGCTTTTAACAAAAAATGCTACTGCACAAATGTGAGCTTTTGGACTGATTATGTTTTGTAAAAAAAAAAAACTTTAATATTTCTTAGAATTATGTTTTTTTTTTTTTTTTTTCAGTTATGCATTGCTTTGAATGATTTTTTTTTTTTTTTTTTTGTAACTCCGCCTATGTACTTACATTGCCGGTCCCAAACCCGGATAAAGGAGGAGGGGGAGGGCGTCAGGTAGTCGACAACCGGCACTCCATGATCACGTCGAATCCTTATGAAAATGAATTCAGAACAAAAATTCGAAGTGTGGAAAGTTTTGGGAGAGACAGGTATAACATGGCTCACTGACCTTTTCAATAGGATTTTGAAAACGAAGAAGATGCCAAATGAGTGGCAAACGAGCACTTCCTCAAAAATCGAAGAGACACTGCTCTCCGAATCTCGAGAGCCAGACCCCCAGCATGATTGCTTTCTCAAAAATCGAAGAGGCATCGTTCTCCGAATCTCGAGAGCCAGATACCACAGACCACTTTTTCAAAGTGCTCTGACAGAGTTAAAACATGTGAAACTGGCAGCTCCCACTACCGTGCCATGACCAAGTAGGGTAAATGAATAGCATTACTACTTGTTGTTAAGGAGACTCCTATATATGTCGACCTCCATCCCCAACGGACAGGCAGACCTGCAAAAATGCTCAACTTCCTCATATCTGAGAGGGCACTCCCAACGAAGCCTTTCGAAATATTCAGCTTTCTTTCCCCCCGATAATACCTCTGCAAACAAGCTATACTAGAGCAAGAATATCTCATATCATCAGGGTTAAAAGCAAGAGTATCCCATATCATGCTTTTTCCCTGTCTTTTCCTTTGACCTTGTTCTTACCTGCAAGACAAGGAGAAAGAGAGCAATCAGTCAGTACTTGGAATCAAGCTTCCAGCCAGGAACTGACTGCCTGGAACCCCTTACCTGATTACTTACCTGACATTGCTCTCGAGTACTCATCTTCAACATCTTATGCTTCCAGGGAAGATACCGCATCTGCCTGAGGAACAGATAGGGCAAGGGAGAAGGATACACGGAAGCATGTGGAGACAAGCGTAACAGCACACGTGCCGATACATCCATTACTCTGTCAAAGCAAAAGTATCCCATATCAGCAGGGTCGAACGTACTCTAGATTTGATGGACTTGTTTTGACCCTCAAATTCTTCAATCGGCCTTATACTCTGGAGGAAACTAGAAACCCTCCAGCTCAGTTCAAGAATAAGCCTGTGGAAAGTTACTTCTTCAAAAGCAAAAGTATCTCATATCATCTCTTCTCATTTTCTTCTCTTTATCCTTCATGCTGCCTGCAAGATAGGGAGACTGTGAACAATCAGCCGGAGCTATGATTGCTTACCTTGTCTGTCACCTCTTTCAGCATATCCCCTAGCTCGGCGACTTGGGGGACTCCTACTACATGGTTTGTATCGCGCTTGACCAAGCTTGATACTACAAGTAAGCTTCAAGTGAAATTGATACATTACCTTGTGCATCTCCACCAGTTAAAGATACCACCCCTGGATGGAGGAAGAGTACTTCCAGAGAAGATGCCCCATCTACCTATGAGACAGATAAGGCACGTCAAGACGATACCACACTCCGATACTTAGAAGTTTCGTGATTACGAGATCATTCTCCCACAATATTTCCTAATGTCATTTGTACTAAATCATTCACTTGTACTCACTAAAGGAGAGCTTGAACCTATGTACTTGTGTAAACGCTTCACAATTAATGAGAACTCCTCTATTCCGTGGACGTAGCCAATCTGGGTGAACCACGTACATCTTGTGTTTGCTTTCCTATCTCTATCCATTTATAAACTTATCCATACTAATGACCGGAGCAATCTAGCGAAGATCACAAAAAGCGACCGTTTTCGCTACCTAAGATCTATCGTGCAAGAGAACGGAAAATTAGATGGAGATCTCAACCATAGAATACAAGCTGGATGGATGAAGTGTAAGAGTGCATCCGGCGTATTGTGTGACCGTCATAGGTCACTGAAGCTCAAGGGAAAATTTTATAGGACGGCAATAAGGCCAGCGATGTTGTATGGCACAGAATGTTGGGCGGTGAAGCATCAACACGTACAAAAAATGGGTGTGGCGGAGATGAGGATGCTTCGTGGGATGTGTGGGCACACGAGAAAGGATAAGATTGGGAATGAGGATATCCGAGGTAAAGTAGGAGTAGCCGAAATTGAAGGAAAGATGAGAGAAAATCGGTTCCGGTGATTTGGACATGTGCAAAGAAGGCCTACTGACGCTCCGGTTCGAAGATGTGACTACTGGACAGAGGTTCAGGGCCGAAGGGGTAGAGGAAGACCTAGGAAAACTTTGGAAGAGACTCTAAGAAAAGACTTAGAGTACTTGGATCTAACGGAGGACATGACACAAAACCGAGCGCAATGGCGTTCTAGGATTCATATAGCCGACCCCACTTAGTGGGAAAAGGCTTTGTTGTTGTTGTTACTTTTACTATTTTGTGTATTTAATTTCTATCTTCATTTTCTGCTCAGATTATTATGAGCTGCAAAGTACTGTTGGCGAAATAGGAAAAAAAAAAAAAAGGAAAGGTGAGTCGGGCTGTTAAATAGTGTAAAATTTTGAGTTTACAAATTTTTTTTAGTCATATTAATAATTGCTTTTGCATATATATATATATGCTGGTATGCTTCATGAGGTGACCTTGAAACTTTATTTGACAAACACATATCAATGCAAGTGAGGAAGGATGTGTGGAGCCAAATGAATAAGACATACGAAAATGGTTGAAAGGTTTCAGAGACAGTGGGTATATATTCCTATATTTGAGTTGGTTTGAAACTTTTTCTTTGACGTTCATCCTTTTGTAGGTTTCTTTCGTTTCTAAGACATTTTTATAATTGTGAGACAATGTATTGGGCCTGACAACCACTGTTGGGGACTCATTTTAGAAATGTTGAGTGTGTTTGATTGACATAGTTTCTTATCAAGATTTCTTAAGTTCTTTTCTGTTAATTAGTACTGTAGTAGTTGTACAACTTTGTGGATTTTAGTTAAAGAGAAACTACCAATTCTGATTGCAAAATCAGACATAAGAAAGGGTAAATATGGTTCTGAAGTAACTGAAGAACTTTCTGTATTTCCATACAGCTAATTATGTGATTTATTGTGATGCAGGAAAACCATTCAGAGGAATCTTATAACTTGGCATGTATCCTCACCCTCCCTCCATATCAAAGAAAAGACTATGGAAAATTTTTATTGCCTTCTGTAAGCTTTGCACTTACTTTCTTTATTCGTTTTGGCGTAGTTTTCTCTGTCTCCGTTCTGTCTTGATGATTGAGTTCTGCTTTACTATTGATAGTCCTTGCAATATTTTTGAATTGTGTTGAACCCAGACATCTATTATAGGTATATGCCCCATTAAGGTTTTTAAAATATTATTCTATAGTCCTGCAATGAGATGTAGTTGTAGATTGTGGAAGATCGTATTAGGCTAAAATTTCATTATAAATACTGTATAGTATTATCTAAAGCTCTCTAACTATTCAATTGTTTCAGCCGTAAAAAATTGATTGATTAGAAGAACTGCAAACCTCAAATTTCCTTCATATTTGTTTATTTGATGTTGTTTTTCCATATAAATCTTCTCTTGCAAAGAAATTCAAAGGGCTCTAATTGTATTCATGGACTCTATAACCTGCTATCCAACTATTCCCTGTACTAAATCTTCAAACCCTTCATATAAATGGACTGATCTTTTCTGTTTTCTCCACTTCTGTGCTCACCAATTTCGGTGGTTTTGTTTTGCTCCATATAGATAAACTTGATTGAAATATATAGTCTTCGCATGTTCTCACCCGATTTGTGTGCATGCAAATACTTGCTATAGGTATGGGTTTTGGAAATTTGCCAAGTTTACTGTGTTTCAAAATTTCGATTTTAAAAATTTCGGTATCTTGATGATTCTTTTCAGATTTGTGGGTAGTTTAGAATTTAGTTTGAGAGGTTGTGATGGAAGTCGAAATGTTTCTTTGTTGTGTTTATGTATTCTTTGAGTTGGTTGATACAGTTAAATTTATCTCTGAATCAGTTTTGATAAATGTTTGTCAGACGCTCGAAATGCTTGAGAAAAAATGAGAGTACTACAGAAGGCTGCTGCAAAAGGGTAAGAATAGCTGCCGAGAGCTACTACAATTTTTGTTAATTAAGGGTCGGCAACTTACTTCGGCATTTGTAATCATCAATTCTTGACTCAAGCATTACTTATGAAGAGTGAAGTTGTATAACTTTTGGAGTTAACATTTTGAGAAATAGCTTTAAATTTTTGTTTTCATTTTGCTGATTTTCGAAGTGGTTGTGGGAAACGGTTCTTTTGAACCAGATTAATTGATTTCACTGATTGCATTTTGATTGTGTTTTTGAATTTTGGGAGTCGATCTTAAAATGTGGTGGGCTTTTGAGGAATTCGGGGTTTTTCCAAATCTGAATTTGGTACGTGTGTGTTGTGCTGAGGTTGAATTTGAATTTTGCAGTCTGGTTTTTTATCAGCTCACTTCACCCATCTCTTGGTTATTTGAATTATTTAGAGATGCCTGTATTGATTTGTGATTTGTTGGATTTACTCTGATTAGGACGTGACTCCATTCGTGTCGCCTTTGTAATGCATCTTTCTGTGCAAATTATTCACGCCTATTATGGCTAATAGTTTCAAAACCCGCAGCGAAGGGCGGGCATTTTTTCTAGTATAATCTAATACTGCATGAAAGTAATAAGAAATATAAATATATACTAACAACATGCTTGAGTCCTCTTATACAGGAACCTCTATTAAATATCAGAAGTAATATTTAGTAAGTAACAATTGTATAGCTTTAGTCTTGTAACAAATGCAATCGAGCTGCTCTCTAATTGAAAATCTAGTAGCCATGCATCTTTGCTAATATGTAAATATAAACCACCAGAAGCTTAGGGTTTGTTTGGTTGTGCTTTTGAAAGAGTCAAAAGCGCTTCCTAATGAGTAAAAGCGCTTTAGTTTTAAAAAATGGTCGTTTGGCAAATATTTTAAAAGTGCTTTTAGTTAGAAATAGAAGCACTAATAAGCATTTTCTAAGAAGCACCTAGGAGGTGCTTCCTCCTAAAAGTGCTATGCAGAGAAAACAAGGGAAGCACTTTGCTCCCTTTAATGAATTTTTTTCAATTCCCGAATTATCCCTATTTTTTAATTTGCAAAGTCTAAAATGCCATTACACTTGAAAAAACATCAAAATTGACATCACCAATTTTTTATAGGTTTGCACGTTAAAAACCTAGAAGTCTTTTATTTTCATAATATTTTGGTGGCTGGAGAAGTCATCTTGGTCTCCATCTCTTCCTCTCCATCTTCCCCAAATCTCCATCACCTAAAATTCTTTGTGGAGGTATGTTTGCTATTTCTTATCTTAAAATTTGTATGTAGTGTGTGAATTTGATTGTTGATATGTTATTTTTATCAAAATTGTTGTGATTTTTGAACTACACGAAAATAATTTTAGGGTTTATTGATCGTTCATTGATATTCCAATGGTATTTTCTGCATTTTTTTCATGATATTTCTAATTTTCCTGATTCATTCTCTGATGAGCAAATTATATATGTTGCCTATCCAGTTAATTAACTCTAACAGCAACTTATTAAAACGCTCATGATCAAACTAACACAAGTAAAACCATCTCCAGTTTCCTATCATTGATCGAGATGTTTACAGAGGATGCATGTGCTACAGTTTGTTATAATTTTTTTGTTCGATTTCTAGCAACATATATTGTATGCTAATTATATACAAAAAATACTTATGCAAAAATTATTGAGAATTATTAATGAAAGCGATTTTCATTTGACAACCAAACACTCTATTTAATATCAAAAACGCTTCTATCCAATACAAAAACGCTTAGTTGGTTGCATGCCAAACAACAAACTACTTCCTCATAGAAGCGCTATTGAAAAGTGCTACAAACAAAAAGCGCTAGTGAGTAAAAGCGCTTTATAGAGTAGCACATCCAAACGAGCCCTTAGTGTTTGTATACATGTAGTAGCTTTGGAAAGACTAAAGGAAGTATGAGAATCCGGTTGCAGGTTTGACACATGAATTCACGCTTTTGTCCGATGGTTTGGATCAACCTCCGTCTCTTTCTCCTAGTCCGGTTGCAGACAAGGAAGCATGAAAGGTATTTCCTATTTTTTTGCTACGATGAGGAGCTCCTTCTTATCTGATGGCTTTATAGAATTACATTTTCCTTGACTTCATAGAACTTTCTACTTCTTAGACTAAAAATAAAACCATTAGTTTTTTATCCGTGGAGTTCCATAAAATTCTACGAAGTTAAATTCTGCATATCCATTTCGAGTGTAAACCTTTTAGATGAAATATAGAATTAATGCAACTAAAATAAATAAAAAGCAGAATAGTAAATGATCATTTATCACAGTGGTGGAAATGTGTTGTGCCTTTGCATGATGACTTGGATTTGATCCCGTCGGTTGCTATCTAACATCTAACTTACTAACACTATCACTCTCGTAAAAAAAAAAAAAAAAAGCAGAAGAGGAACTTGCAGCTGTAAGCTCTCTGATTCTGTGGGCTTTGGATATCCATACTTTGCGACGGCATAGTTTCGCGGTACGGAACGGCGGCCAATGAAAAGGCGTTGATAAAGAGACTATGGAAAGAACTCGGGGAAGGACCAGATCCTCGCCGGATCATTCCCTAGGGATCCTAAGGATCCCACAATCCTATCCGTTCATCGTATATCGCGGTCAGAAATCATTTAAATTTTCAATTTTAAAATTCAAAAGTAAATAGTACCTAACGAAAACTGACCGAACGATACATAATGAACGGATAGGATTGCGGGATCCCTAGGGAATGGATCCGGCGAGGATCCTGGTGCCTCGGGGAAAAGAGAAAAGCAGAGGAAAAGAATTCCTCGCCAGTCCCACTACAAACCAATCATCCAATTAAAATTCTCTAGAAATTTAAAATTACAAAAATGCCCATGCATTTAAAGTCCCGCAAAAGCTTCATTTTAAGTCAAATTTTTAGCCGTATCCCTTTCCACCTAATCTACCAAATCTGTGATCCAGACCATTGAAATTTGATCCAACGATTACAGTTATTATAACTTTAAAGGGGCTCTCTGTTTGTAGTCGTTTGATCAAATTTCAATGGCCTAGATCACGGACTTGGTGAATTAGGTGGAAAGGGATCCAGAGAGAATCCCTATCCAAATTTTCATTATTATGTTTGTGTCACGTGTTCGTAATAACGAGTATTATAAGAATATAAGAATATAATAATTAATATGTCACGCGTGTACCAAAAAGTCAACGAAAGCCAACACATACATATTAGGGGCATTTTGGTGATTTTCCAAGTTGAGGATTTGAAATATCTTATATTTAGGAACGGATCGCAACATAAATTGTAACATCCACATCGTCCAGGGGAGTGGATCCTCTAAGCCTTATATGTATATTCTCATCTCTACCTAGCAAGAGACCTTTTGGGAGCTCACTGGTTTTGGGTTCCATCGGAACTCCGAAGTTAAGCGAGTTCGCGTGAGAGCAATCTCAGGATGGGTGACCCACTGAAAAGTTCTCGTGTGAGTTCCCAGAAACAAAACCGTGAGGGCGTGGTCGGGGCCCAAAGCGAACAATATCGTGCTACGGTGGAGTCGAGCCCGAGATGTGGTGGTGGACCGGGGCGGGGATGTGACATAAATGAAGGCAATAATTAATCAATAAAATCAGTGCATCCTAGGTGCAATTCGTTTACATATTTACACTATATACTTCATTATGTAAGGATTGCAAAAATAACATTGGATTGCAAGAAATGTTGTATAAAGAGATTTTGCTGCATCTAATTTATGGATGCAATTTTTTGAAATTTTAGAACTTTATGTGACATGATGATCTCCTCCCTTCTGTGTTTGTAATTTGTCTTATAAGTGTAATTTTTTTTTTCATTTTGGGTCAATGTATCAAGACATAACATCATTTGGTCATATGTCATCATCAAAAACTTTATCTCATGTCATAAATTTAACATTAACATCATTTTTGTTTACTCATTAATCAAACATATAAAAAATTATTGATAAAAAAAATTTCTTTCACATGCCTAATTGTCACAGCCCGTCCCAAAGTTTTACACTCGTGATTGTAAATTGACGGAATTTCCCTTAAACGTGATTAAGATATGTGAATCATATATTGGTGAAATATATGTTAAGTTATTTGGAGATGGAATTTTGTGATTTGGGGTTAGGTAGGACCACACACCTCATATCCCTCCCTATTTCGCGTACCCTGTCTCTCTCTCCTCCCTCACAATCTCTCATTCTCTGTCTCTCTCCCTCTCCTTCGAACTCACACAGACGAGCTCCAAAACCACCCTAAATCTATACCAACGACGGAGTTAAGACCACCATCAAACTCCTGGAACCTCCACGATCACGATGGTATCCATTTCAGGTAAGTTTTGCTTCGGAAAATCCTAGTTTCAAAGTTCCCGTGAAATGGTACTGTTCATAATCTTCTAAATGACTACGTTTTAGGCTAAAACAAGATCACAGCGAGCTTAGTGAGGTCCCAAGGAAGCTCGGAGTGCTTCGTTGGAAGTTTTTGGACGTAAGAACACGGAGATCGATAAGTTCAAAGTTTGGCCGAAGCTTTCGAGGCGTTTTCCGGCGAATCCCCGGCGAGTTAGGAGTCAAGGTAGGTATCAATCTCTTCGTCTCGTCAAGTACTACAACTTTTCTTTTTGTTTCACTCAATTTCGTTGAGTATTGAAGAAGTTATACTCATTTGAAAAATACCAGTTTCCGGCGACCTCCGAGGCTTTCGAGGCAGTTTCCGGCCAAACCACGGCGAACTAGGTGTTGTGCAAGGTACCATTCTCTTTGTCTCTTCAAGGGCTACAACTTTCGTTTTTGAATCACTTGATTTCGTTGAGAAATGACAAAGTTATGGCAATTTGAAAAACTGCCCAGAAAACGGCCGCCGGAAAAACCAGTCCGGCGACCCAAGGAAGAAGAAGGTGCTACAGTAAAAATAAAAATAAAATTATTTTAAAAATATGTCGACGTCCGTGACGTCGAGTAGATCACTGTGGTATATTCATATACCTAAATTGAACACCGTATGAGAAAGTTATTGAGGATTGTTGGTTAGGTGTTCGAATAACGTTTTATAGTTTTCACATTAGGTGAAAATGTGAATTGATGATCCGACCGTTGGATCATCACCAAACTTTGATACGTTGTAATACGTAATATTTGAGGATTATTGGAACTTACGGATTGGGAATCCGAGTTACGGATCTTTCGGAATTGGAATTGTAAGTTCATAAAATAAAATGTTAACCGTCACTTAGTTTTGGAAATTGACGGAGATCCGACCGTTGGATGGTAATGAAATTTTAGGATGTTGTACTAGAGGTATAATGTGGACCTCTGGAAGTTATGGATTTAAAATCTGAGTGGCAGATCTTCCGGATCGATCAACGTAGTGACGTATTTTATATAAGTTATATATTCTATCGATATGAATTCTGAGCCTGGAATTGATTACTATTCTAGGCGGCGATCGTCATGACGCCTTGATGTGTGGTGCTAGGGAGTTGTTGGACGAACTCCAGGTGAGTGGACAATTTTGTTTTCCGTATATATATATACTTGACGTTTCCCAGAAATTGAATTGAAATGAAAATATGTTTAAAATGAAATGTATATGAGTTATGTGGAAAAACGGGAAGTGAAATACCATGCATAGAATTGATATGAAAAGTATATAGAAATGTGAATCGAATTGCCATGCATGAAATGATATGAAAAGTATGAATTGAGATATGATGCATATGAATGAATGGTGCGGCGGACGCACAGGTGAGTATCAGGTGAGTATTTAATTACTGTTATGATGATGTTGATATATATTGAGCTCAAATCCTGCACCATGGTTTAGTGCTTATAGTATTCACCGCATCGCACGCTCGCCTTGGATCCAAGTAGATGCTAGTCGTACAGTCCACGCGGAGTGGGTACGACAGGCCAGTCGCGAGAGTGTTAGTGAGATTCCGACTGGTGGGTGACCTTAGATTATGTGCACAGATGATTTATGAGAAGCACTAGAGCGTAACTTGTGTGCAGAAGGCCGGACGGGTCACAGAGGTGACTCCGGTAGAGTGATAGTGATAGATTTTGAGCTCTAGGTTCAACCGTACAGGGCTATTAGAGGGCCTACGGTTGATTACTTTCTTGCACCTGATATGATTATTGTTGATGCATCCATACTTAACTATTGAATTAGACATGGCATGGCATGATTGATAAAGAAAAATGTTGAGATAGTAAAAATGAAGTTTTGAGAATATATATGTATATTTATATTTTACATTTCTGGGAAAGTATACAGGTTTTACGGAGAGGGGTTACAACGTTTTGAGAAATGTTTGGATTTTGAAAAGAATTGTTTTACTGACCCACTCAATTTTGGTTTTGCGCCCCTCCAGGTTCAAGAATCACAAAGGTGTGGTGACTACGAGGAATTCGACGGTGTTCTGACAGATTGGACAAAATTAGGACTCACCTTCGGGTGTATCAACTTATAAATTGTATCTTAAAGCTTCCGTACTGTGTAAATGGTTACGTCACTCTCACGTGACGGCCAGCATGCCCTCCTTCGGGACGGGGTGTGTCAGTCGACCTTAGATTATGTGCACAGATGATTTATGAGAAGCACTAGAGCGTAACTTGTGTGCAGAAGGCCGGACGGGTCACAGAGGTGACTCCGGTAGAGTGATAGTGATAGATTTTGAGCTCTAGGTTCAACCGTACAGGGCTATTAGAGGGCCTACGGTTGATTACTTTCTTGCACCTGATATGATTATTGTTGATGCATCCATACTTAACTATTGAATTAGACATGGCATGGCATGATTGATAAAGAAAAATGTTGAGATAGTAAAAATGAAGTTTTGAGAATATATATGTATATTTATATTTTACATTTCTGGGAAAGTATACAGGTTTTACGGAGAGGGGTTACAACGTTTTGAGAAATGTTTGGATTTTGAAAAGAATTGTTTTACTGACCCACTCAATTTTGGTTTTGCGCCCCTCCAGGTTCAAGAATCACAAAGGTGTGGTGACTACGAGGAATTCGACGGTGTTCTGACAGATTGGACAAAATTAGGACTCACCTTCGGGTGTATCAACTTATAAATTGTATCTTAAAGCTTCCGTACTGTGCAAATGGTTACGTCACTCTCACGTGACGGCCAGCATGCCCTCCTTCGGGACGGGGTGTGTCACTAATAGCTCAAGCCAAAAAAACTAGTGGGAATAAAAACCCATTAATTGAAAAGACATTTTTTTTCTTGGAAATGGAATGTCATTTAATCAAATTTGAAAGCAAGAATAAGCTTCAATCCATATGAACTCATATGTCAAATTTGAATACGAGAAAAGTTGATGTCAAATAATTTTTTTAATTATGTTATTATGTGAGTCTTATTAATGCACAAATTATAAATTTTGAAAACTTATTTTAATTAATTTTATTTTTTAAAATAAATCATACAAATATTATTTATAACAAAAAAAATATATATGAGTGAGGAAGAGAAAATCTGAGATTACTACATTATATTTGAAATTTTCATCGAAAATGCTCTTAAGCAACGGTTGTGATGTAGCCAAAAAGTCGTTCTAAACCGCGTAATTAAAATGCGATTAAAAGTGCACCCCACTAACAAAACCGCGTCATCATCTTCCACTTTCCATCCAACCGCATCGATTTCTGAGAAAACTCTCTTAGCGACCAACCCAGAAAAACCAAGAAATTCAAATTCCCAGTGGAAGAACAACGCATCAGTTTCTCTCGCCCGTTGGCTCCAATCACAGAATCTGAGATGATAAAGCAGCTTTCTGGTTTATGATCGAGAACTGAAAGAGTCTGAGAAAGATCGATCGTATTTATGTACCGAAATTTAATGGATTCCCAGAGAAAGGTTTGAAATTCTTACTTTTCATGGAATTCAATTTCCGTTCGGTGATCTCTGATTGTTATCGAATAATATGAATGCTTTTATGGTTAGGGTTTTCCCAATTGCACTGTGATTGGATTTGTGTTGCTAGGGTTAGGGTTTTCGAGGTCTTACTATCATATTTATTCAATTATATGAAATAGAAATTTGGGGGTTTTGAGCTGTGAATCTCAAAATGCATTCTCGAAAGCATGAGAATTTCAATAAGCAATCCCCAGCTTCTAGATTACATGCGGTGGGTCCCGACCCGTATAGTAATAGTGGTAGGAGGAGTAATATGCAACTCGAGGCTGCTGATCAGTCTAGTGAGAGGAGTTTAAGCCCTCGCGGATTGCCAGGGGATGTGGGTTTGAGTCAAAGGACTGATTCTATTGGAAGGAGTGACCATGGTTGGCATTTGGGTGGTAGAAGGACTGATCGGGTGAGGCGGAGATCAAGGTCAACGTCACCGCCACTGCCTTTTGGCGGCATTCAGAAAAGGTCACATTTTGATGAAGGAGTTGGGGTTATGCATAGGAATTATTCGCCAACTCCACTTGCACCTGTTCCTTTGGAGTTACAACACAGACCTGAACTTGTAGAGCCTGCAAAATATAGTGTGAATGATGATTCAAATAGTAGACGAGTTTACGGGTCTGAGAACAATGATTCTAAAATCATCAATGAGGAAATGAATGGAAGCAGATTGTCAGTTGGCGGTACACATGGGACATTGAGTCAGAAATCAATGCATGTGGAAGATGGTGCGGTAAGAGGATTAAAATCCACACTAATTCAAGATAATACTGCACTAGGAATATATTGGCCACCTCCAGACCTGCATCCTGTGATAGCTCCTGCAAAAGATAGTGAACACCTACCATCATCATCACGGAGTATGAACTTACCCCGTTTTGAGCATGGAAGGCCTCGGTATACGGATCCTGTTGCTTTGGATAGATTACCAGTGACAGAATCCTACAAAGGAGAGAAACCCATTCTTACTTCAAGGGATGGTTTGTACCCCATGGTGTCAAGTGCTCATTATACGGACTTTCGTCCTAGCTCCTCCACAGACGTAAGGAGTGAATTTCAGGATTCTTATATGGGTGGCCCACACTTACCTTCAATGGATGAATTTTCAAGTAGTAGACGGTTCATTAATGCATATAGACAAAGGCCACTAGCAGATTATCCTAGAGATCCTGGTTCTGGCAAGAGGAACCTGTCAACTTACCAGAGTTATAGTCCTAACAGAGGTGAGCATGCAGATTATTTTTACCCCAAATCAAGGGGAATGCCAGTTGATGATCGCAGATATCCATCTGATGACTTAAATAAAATCATGCCTCCACGAACACAACTTGACTATGATAGTACTCAAATGGTTTATAACCATCAAAATTTGTCAAGACCTAGTATTATGAACCCTGTTATGGATAGAATGGATGATACTGAGGAATTTTCTGGAAATTCAAGAAAGGGCATTATGCTGAATAATCCTACTTTGCAAAGGCAATCTTTATTAGACTACCCTGATTCAAGAAGAATATCAGAGACATCAAAGCATGGTGTGGAATATTCAGGTTCAGGACGCACACATGTCAGTTTAGGAAGGAGAATGTCACAAGATTATGAACTATCCCATTTCAGGGCATCACAAGATTTTCAGGTCGCACATCAGAAAGAAGATTATGGTTTTGAAAGAGATGTTAATATGAAGTATCAGGACAGGCCGTCTTCTGTGTCAAAATATGACTCAGAGATGAGTGGGCATCCTGCTGGAATGCAGATTATGAGAGAGGAGCTTGGAATATATGAACCATCAGATAGGATGCTTAAAAGAAACTATGCTACTGAAGAAGGTATGAGTACACATAATCCTAGAACTATTGGGTCTAGTAAGTGGACATCTAGAGAATTCCAAGTTTCATATGAAAGCGGTGAAGAGTGGAATGATGGAGATTTAGGCAGTTATTCATCTGCATCAGCTGGATTTGACCATGATAGATACAGTAAGGCTGAGAGGGTATATGTTGGGCACCGTCATGGTGAATATGAATATGATGATTGGTTGCCATCTCAACACTCTTTTGAACATGCACAAATGCATTCAGTCAGATTCTATAAACACGGTGATCGATATATAAAGGGTCATCGAAATTCTGGTCCATTAAGTAGGCATAAGGCGCATCACGCTGATATAAAAAGCAGTGTTCACAAACAGCACCGAGTTTGGAAAAGACATTATAATTATTTAGAAGATGTCCACGCAAGTGATGGTACTGATGTTGATCAATCAGAAAATGGGCTGAGCTCTGCACGTCCTGAGCCGTCCGAGGACTCTGAGGAGTTTATGCAAATGGTAAATGAAGCCTTTTTAACATTTTCTAAAAAGCTAAATATGAACTCGGCTGTTCGGAGAAGATACAAGGAACAAGGGAAGGCTGGTACTTTGTTCTGCATCGTATGTGGCCGAAGGTCCGTTTTCTTCTCTGTCATGTTCTTTTTAAGTGGGACTCCAGTTTTCATCTTTCATTCAGGAGGTTTTTAGTATTAGTCATATTGATTCAGTTATTTTGAGCTTTTGTTACTTAGGTTTGTTTAGTACTACTCAAGTCACTTGCTATGACCTTAAATTTCTGAAAGTTATGTGGTCTTTTAAGTATTTCCTTGTTGTTCATTGGGTGAACATCTTCTAATACGAAATGGTGTTTGCGGAGTTGTTCGTTACCAATCATGGGTGAAATTTCCAAGTAACATGGCTTTTGTAGTGGGAAAGACAGACACCATTTGACACAACAAGGATCGTCATAGTCCAGCAGAAAATGATACAGGGCCTCTTAAGTGTGTTTTTAGTTCCTTGTTGACTAGCGAAAGTAAATGTGGACATTCTGCATAGTTTTAGGCTTTGGTGATGCAAAGAGATTATGCAAATTGGTTTATTGTTTGAGGTGGAGGGATAGGATGTACATAGGATGGATTGTGAACAAGAGTGAAATGAGGTTCTTGGCTTGAAATGATTCATTGATTCAAATAGGCGGAAATCAATTTCTCAGTCCACACTCTGATACGAACTTAATTGCTGAAGTCATTTTGGTATCCTGTTATTGGCATCCAGGTCGAAATGCATAGTGTTTCATTACTCATACATGCACTTATTCTGCGTGAATACTTTAAAAAAAAAATACTTAGGACTTTGAAGGAGCTTTGGAGGCTTATTCATTCGTGAAAGTACATTATTTTTTATAATGCCTGCAAAAATGTGATCATAAAGCATATCTGTAGCCTATGATGCAGTGTTAAGTTCCATAGCTTCTCACTTGGGGTAAGTTTATCTTTGAGGCTCTGGAGTCCATTGTATTTTCTAGATGGAGTGTAGAAACTGGCCAGTTAAGTAGAAGTTAGTTATAGTTGGTAAGAAATGGGAAAGAAGGATTTGTAGTGAAAATTGGAGTAATAGATTCTGTGGTAACATGTGTGTGAGTAGGTTTAAAGTTCCCTCACAAGAGCGCATGGAGTTATCTATGAAGTCAGTGACAATGAGATCAATCATTTGGTTTGCTAACGATGCATAGTAATATGATTTTTCATGTCGTTATCATGGGAAGCCCAAATATTTACTTGGTCGTGAGGTTGAATATGCGGGCTATTTCCTATATGGCTTTTAGAGAAGATGATTAGAACCCGAATTAGAAATAAATAAGTAAAATGTCATAAAACTTCAAGGGGTGAAATTAAAAAAGCAATCATTAGACAAAGTATTATCGAGAGTTAGATGTGCATTGATTTGTCTTGTTACTTCTCCAAGGTTGAACCGTACTTACTTTTATGAGGATATCACTGTGTCAGAGACGTGTCTTAAATTGATGCAAGTCTGCCCCAAGTCTGATAAAAGGAGGTTGTGGTAGTTTGTTGCAGGTATAAGCCATCACACCTTATGAATGTGTATTACTTGATACAAATGAATGAAGCCCTGCAGCAAATGAGAGGCAGGATGATTAATTTGAATCAAACAACTGTAGCAGTTGAGGGTTGTCAAATAGCTTTTTTTTTTTTTTTTTTTTTGGTAATTCGTCAAATAGCATTTGGTTTTGTTTTCACTGGTTCTTTTATGAAGATATCAAAGTTGGATTTTTGACTTTCATTTTTGAATTTTTATATATGATACTTATTAATGTATATGATACTTGATGAGATATCGTAGATGTTTCTGCCTTTTTTTTTTCGAGTAGAAGTGGTACTCGCAAATACTGTGTCCTTTCATTGTGTTTTTTTTTTTATCTTTTTCAATTGTTTATTTATCTATGCTGTGTTGCAGTTTGTCGAAGGAGTTCATGGACACTCAACGCTTGGTAAGACACGCATATATGTCTCACAGAGTTGGGCTGAGGGCACAGCACTTGGGTCTTCTAAAAGCAGTTTGTGTTCTGTTGGGGTGGAGTACTGTTGTCCCCCCTGACACAGTCACATGGGCTCCCCAGGTCTTGCCCAAGGCTGAAGCTTTGGCTCAGAAGGAAGATTTGATTCTCTGGCCTCCTGTGATTGTTGTTCACAATATTTCTATGTCAGACAACAATCCTCAAAGTTGGAAGGTTGTTTCCATGGAGGCGCTCGAGGCTTTTCTAAGAAGTGAGCGACTTTGTTGTTTTTATTATTTAGTTGTACAATACTTATGCTTGAGCATAGTTTTATTAAAAATATTGAGTAAACTAGAAAATAAGAATATAGTGCATCATGTATTATTCAGGGTGAGCGGAGGATATGATGGCAAGATGCCTTTTGAAGTTAGGATAACAATTATTTGTTTTTAATCTTTTGGGTTCTACATGGCATGGCAGGTAATGGTTTAATCAAGGGAAGAATCAAGATTTGCCTAGGGAAGCCTGCTGACCAAAGTGTTTTGGTGGTGAAGTTCTTGGGAACTTTTACTGGGCTTGGGGACGCAGAGAGGATTCAGAAGCATTTTGCAGAGCATCAGCGTGGCAGAGTGGATTTTGAGCGAGCGACGTCCTCAAATGGAAAAATTGTGGAAGCAGCAATGCAGGGAGACAACGCAGAGGAGCGATTTCTATATGGGTACATGGGCATTGTAGAGGACTTGGATAAGGTGGATTTCCATACCAGGAGCTGGACTGTGATAAAGAGCAAGAAGGAGATTCAGGACCTGGCCAATGCTCCCGTCAAACCTGATGAGAGGTAACTCATAGTTGTGCACAAATACTAATTTAAGGATTACGCTTTGGTTTCCCTCTCGTAGAACATACCCGGAAGTGAGCCGAAAAGAAAATATCATGTAAAAAACTCGAAGTCACCGCTAGCTTTTGTTATTTGTGCAATACTCTGAACTCATGGAATCCGGAATGTTTTGCTTGTAATTTATAGTGGCTTCCATTACATAAACTAATGTACCGTTTATGCTTCAATCTGTAGCCATGTTTATAAGGCCGAGTGGCGTAAATTCCACTTGAGGCCAAATTTCCTGTGTTGGATTTGGATTAGTTTCATGAATAAAATGCCATTTGGTTTCGACAAACAGAATGAAAGAAATTATGATTCAAGTGAGAAGGAAATGCGAATAAAAGATCGCACACGATGAAGACACTGGTGACCCGAGAAGCTTGACATTTTGTTAAATTTAAATTCTGGGTGTTTTATGTTTTGGAAGTAGATTAACGTATTTAATTTTGGGACGAGGGAATTGTAGTAATGGTCCCACAACTTTAACTCAATTGGAGTAGTAGTCTCTCAATTAAAAATCCATGACTATTGATCTTCTCAAAATGTGCAGCTATAGATTTTTTCATCAACTCTGTTAGAGATTCCGTTAAAATGAGTCTTGTGTCATGCACATGAGGCTGAATTGAGGAGTGAATATGAAAAACCAAATGAGAAAAATTGTAGCAATGGTCTTTCAATTTTAACCCAACTAAAGAAATTCTCTCTCAACTTTAACCCAATTGGAGCAATTGTCCCTCAACTTTAACTCAATTGTAGCAATGGTCTTTCCAACACGACTCATTTTGACGGAATTTTGACAGAGTTAACAAAAATGATCATAGCTGCACATTTTGATGAGTTAAGAGACTAATGTTAATGGATATTTAGTTTAGGGATTATTGCTCCATTTGAGTTAACGTTGAAGGACCATTATTACAATTTTCTCCCTTTGGGACAGATGGGGATCTTCACAGACACTCACATCTTTGTTTTTAGGGTTTTGGGGTAAGAGTTCAGTGTTAGGGTTCACAAAAACTGCGATTGTGTCAAAATCCACAAAAGGCACCCAATTACAGTAAAGTCTCTCTCTAGTGATATTCTATAAAGGAATAAACTTCTTACCGTTACAAAAATTTTGGTCCCAACTTGAGCTAGTTATGTAAACTTCACATAGTAATAACTAGCAAAAATGCCCGCGCGTTGCTGCGGGACTTGAATGCACCAGCCTTAACCACATGAATAAGACATTTAATCTGCAAAAAAATTCATCATAATCAGGAACAAACAAAAGGGATAGATGAGTGAAAGATGTTGGTAAGATGAGAGTTGAATCAAAGGAATCAGTAGTGTAAAACTGACAAAATGCTTACAAATTCAACTCCAATTATGCTGATGTAGCTATCCAAGTATGAATTATCCTATTCAACAATTCTGAAGCTCAGACAAAAATTGCATGAGAAATATTGAGATTATATGCAATTGTATGTCAAATAATCTGAAAAATACCATATATCCAATTTAAGTGCATACACCTATAAACTAATCTTCATATATACTTTAAAATAATACAGATCAATGTAATCTAAAACATTGGAAACATTATCATACAATTAAAGAATCACGATGCAGAAAATGTTCTTTCCATTATTTTCAAATAACTTTTCACCCCACAACACTGAGACAGAGAGCATACCCATACCAATGGAGGAAGGGAAACACAAAATACACTACTTGATCGCTTGTGGCTTATAGCTATTATTGCTCAACCTGTCTTTATCTTCGTGTATCTCTCTGATTGAAATATTATTCATATAAAATTTCATTACAGTATAAAGTATATTTATGTATAACATAATAACCTTCTAAAAGCAATATCTTATAAAAACATTCCATCAATCTAAGAAAACTGATGACAATCGTAAGCTAAACAATGAAATACCAAATAAAACTATAAGCAGCAGTAATCTTCAAATCCGAACCTCAAATTCAAACTTTTCTTGTAATTCAAAAATTAAAAAAAGGAGGAAATGAAATATTAAAAAAAAATAAAAATCATAAACCTGCTTTGGAGTTTGCGGGAGGTTTGGAGTAGTGATCTGGAACGACATCGGTGCAGTTTTCGTAGAAGCAGAATCGCTGGCTTCCACGATCATCAAGCAGAATCGTACCATTTTAATCTAGAAGTATAAAATAAAAAACCCTACACTCATCAAAGTAAACTAACGGCATGGGAAGAAATAGTAAGAGAATTCTACCAAAAACCAACTAAATACCAGCTCAAGAATGAATCGAAAGCATATATCTTATTTCATAGGTTTATGACAATTTAGGGTCAATAATCTTTGCACCTAATTAGCTCCATATGGGCTCCAGATACAAATCTAATCCATATATGTGATATTATACCTGGTCTAAAGAACACAGAGAGCCCAAAATCTATTGTCTTAAGTGGTGCATCCTCTTTCTGGTTGACAAATAGAAAATTCTCTGGCTTTAAGTCCCAATGCATGACACCCAAAGAATGGCATGCTTCGAGGACACCAGTGATAACCCATGCAAGCTTTAGCTGCCTTTCTCTATGTAATGCCCAGACCACTTGAAAGGAGTCATTTGTAAGTCCCATGCCTACGCTTTGTAATGATGCAATTTTTTTAATTTTTTATTTGAATTTTGTTAAATTAAGTAATTTCGGGGAGGCCTACGCTTTCAAACTATAATCGACAACCGACATAAATAATTTGCACAGAAAGATGAACTAAAAAGGCGGCAAGAATGAAATCACACCCTTAAATGCACCAATGCAAATAAACACATTTTACCAGAATAAATCCAACAAAATCACAAATCAACAAAGGCATCTCTTAAGAATTTAAATAACCAAGATTTGGATGAACTGATTGTGAGTATTTGTGCATAGATGTGTAACTATTTACATAAAACATGTGAAGGACAATCAGTTTAGAATTTCAAAATATAAAATATTACAATTTCCATAAAAGATCAAGTATTGGGAAACAAAATTGGCATCTCACCTTCCACAATAGGTCGACAAATGCTTTGATTACGCTTTAGCTTCTTGTCTACCTGAAAACACAAATTCACTATTTAGAATATCATAATTTCATGAAATGGTTCACCCTTGAATCAAGAAGAACTCCTTTGTTTTATGTATGGTACCGATAATCAACTCATAATATTGGATCTCAATTTATTTCAAACTTTTATGCATTTTTGACTATTCTAGGATCCATTTAGGCAATCTCTTAGACCATTAGTTTGTTCCCTTTGACTAAAATAAAAAACAGCACATCCGCTTGCTGCTTAGTGACTTGATAAGTCAGTCACAAAGATAACATGTAGAATGCAAATATGGATCACGAAAAACAACAGCTATAGAATTGATTATATAGAAGAAGAATACAAACTTATTGTGAGGTTATCCCAGCTATCCACTATGACCCAGTATATATAGCAAGTAAAAACTACAAAAGCAAAGATCTCATTCAATGACAGTTTGTTTCTTATCCAGAAAAATAAAATGAACAGGTTAATGACACTCTCAAAGTTGGTTTATGTTCAAATTAGTGAATTACCATAATCTTTGCTGGTTGGTTTTCAATCTGTATCTTAATTAGTAAACAACCAATCCAATGCCAACTTCTTTTTAAGAATTAAAATGACACTATTTTTGTCCCTCATGGAGTTTGATAAATTTGCTCGATCGTTTATACGTGTTTCTCCTGGGAGTTCTTAAATCATCGTTCTACTACTCAACAGACATCAATCTGAAACATATGGCTTGTTCAGGTACGCTCTCTTGTTTGAAATTTGTCTCTCTTTTTATGCTGTTTGGTATGGTTAGTTAGTTTTCCCATATCCTTAGATCTCTCAGTCCAAGTTCAATTCAATATTGATTATTTGCTACAATATCTTCTCCTATTGTTGCGAGAGAATTCATATCAAGATTAACTTCATTATTTAATTCGAATGGAATCCAAAAGCGGTATAAATATGAAGGATAAAAAAGTAATAACAAAAGTCACATTTCAGCAGCAATTAATAGCAGAAATCAGAAATAATTTCAGTAAAATAGAAAGCAAAGATTAGAACTCAACCCACTTCTACATTAGTAAGAATAAGAATGATTAAGCTTAATCTAGAGAGAGAAACACAAAGATCAAAACATCAGGCATTTATTTTTGAAATACAGAGATCAAAATTTTAGGCATTTATTTCTGAAACAAAATAAATGAACAAAACCATCAACATCAAGGATGATTACAATTGATGGGTGCAATATGGAATATAAGTTTCTGGAGAGAGAAACAACCAAACTTTACACTGGATCATATTTTTTAGAGAAAGAGAGAGTTGGAAGTACTTTTCAACAGCAGAGGTCAATCTTGGGCATAAAAAGAAAACATAGAAGCTTCACAGCACAATAATTAACCACAATCCTCTGTTTTTCTAAGTGCAAATAGAAAAACAGAAACAAAGTATTGAACACAAAATCTTCACATTAGCCCAAGAATTATATTGTTTCTAGAGCTTTCCAAATTGCCAGCACGGAACGACAAACATAAAAGCACTAAAATATATAATTGGAAATATAAAAATAACAATTCCAAGAAACTAAATGGGAAGTTGGGCAGATCTGCAAAGTAACACAAACTCATTACTCAAAATTAAGAGCATTGTGGCTCACCCTGAAAGCACCTCTTTTCCGATAAGGGAGAGAAAGGCCGTTGTTCTGGCTACTGAGTGCTGCTGGCTCCAAAGCAGTTTATGTTCCAGAACTTTATAAGAGCAAGTCACCCATTCAAAACCACCATAAATCGCGAGTTTACATCATTTTGCTACCAAAAAAAAAAAGCAAACAAAAAAAAGGAAAAAAATAGAAAGTATAAGATTCAAACATGTTTACAATTACAAACACTTTACAATGCGTGTAAAAATTAAACGTTCTCAAGCACCCATGTCTCCAATTCGAGGCTAAAACCCAATTCCACAAAAGAAATCAACAATTTTGATCAAAACAGAAAAGCCAACAGACTCAAAAGGCCAGAATACAATTATACATATCCTTAGCTGCTATGGAAATCAACAGTTCCATATAAGTATACAAAAGATTTTCTTACACCTAATTTCGCAGCTTAGAGAGCAATAGTTATACTAAAACAACAATTAATTGAAACGATTGAAGGGGAAAAAAGCAAAAGTGGAAAAAAAGAACTCAACAAAGATTGTGTTCCCAATCTAAATACATTATATACTCCAGCACAAAATAAAACCCAGGTGTCCTTTAGCACCGAAGCTCTGTTCATGTGGATTTTGGGAAAAAAAAACCGTTGAAAACTTAACAATCCAGATTAGGGGAAACAATTACGGAAAATTAACAACAACTAAACAAATTAAAGAACTGAAAACCCACAAAAAAAACCCAAAAAAAAAAAAACCAACTGACCTTAAAACAAAGAACATACTGAACAGAAAGGGAATCCCCAAAATTAGAGAAAATGAAACAAATAAGGGAATAAAGAGAGAGATGAATCCGCCAAAACCGGACCTAATGTACTAAAAAATTTGAAAATCCAATCTAACATTAAAGAATCCAATTTAAAAAATGAACTTATCTTAGGAAATGATCACAAAATCCGGCACACATCATCCTCAGTAGCCTCTGCTCATGACCCCTACCCCTCTCCCTGAAATCCTGAATACCCCATATGGTTCTCTCTCTCCCTCTCTCTCTCTCTCTCTCTCCCTCTCCCCAAAATGGGAAGTGGAAAGTTTGGTCATGCAAGACTTAAGACATTAATTATTTAAAGGACCTAATGGATGGCAGAAAATGGTTGGGGGAGACGGGTTAGGATAGTAGGAAATGGACCAGTTTTTTTAATTCCTTGAGTCCATAATTTTGTAAGTGGTTTGCCAACTCCTTAATTTAATAAAATTAGTTTAGGACTTTGTGAGCATGGGCGCTGCATGTTTACAACAAAACAATTTTAAAGTTGAAAAACCTAACCCACTTATGTAATGTATTAAACCTTAAAGACAGCTCAACCTCTAATAATAATCTTATTAAATTAAACCATAACCAAAATAAATAATGCAGACACAAAAGCACAACTATTGTCACACGAAGGAATTCACGATTAATACAATGTATATCTGTCGATAAAAAGATCTGTAGTAGCAAGCAATTCATCACACTATATAATCTGTCATATCTACCGTGCACTGTACTGCTTGGTCTGAAGTAGAGAAAAGAAACTAAGTATATCGTATAAAACCTTAGGGCAAACAAATAACTATAGAAGACAACGCATCTAATTGCAAATCACATGTACATCAAGGTTATGATCATCCATGTCTAGGTTTAAGACAATTTTAAGTAAAATTGCCACTATATATACACGGAGGGTGTCAAAGGAATTATATACTTTAATTAGTAAAATCAACGGCATATAAAATCCAAAAAGGGAATTCAAATTGGAACAGACGGAAAATAGATAAAAGATTTACCAGAAGCAAAACAATCACACAGTATTATCTCCACAATGAAGAAATTGTATCGCCAAAATGGAGATACATAAGTCTCAGACGGTTTATAGATGAAGGGAGATAGCAAAAATAAAAAGCGTAATCAGACAGATGAACAATGAAAATTAAACATACCAGGTGAGCAATACCAGACATTTCCTGCCTTCAAGCAATCGGTTATTGTCTCCATGTTCAACTAAACCTCTATAGAAAAACTGCAAAAAAACAGATGAGAATCATTTAGAAACGGGGAAAAAGTTTTCCATTAGCATTTTTCCAAAAGAAGGCAATCAATTGCTTTCACATGTAAAAAATAAAGTTTGAAAATTAAAAATGAAGCAAGTTGAGGAGCAGAAGCAGGTGACGGTAGACGATACATAAGTTTTTAGAGAATATCAAAATATATAATCTAGAAAAACAAATAAAGCAGCCAATCCGAAGTTAAATAAACAGAAAGAAAAAGACAACTTGAATTGAAAAAAATTCTTTTCTAAACACTTCATTTTCTATATTCTATTGGGTTCAATTTTTCACCAATTCTGCTTGGTTAAAAAGACATACCGCCTTCAGAAAATGACAATCTGCTTGGTTATATAATCTAGCACCAATTCTGCAACACCTTTCATGGATGCAGCTGCCTTGAACAGATCGGATTACATATGGCCAGCGGAGATGAACAATCTAATTCCTAATGGAAGACGACATTTATCAAGCGATGACTTTTTGGAGGCAACCACAAAGATGGAATGCTCTTTCAACAACTGCATAACCACAACCATTACAATTAAAAGTAGAGAGGCAGAAAAGGACAGAAAAGGATTCACAGAATCTGCTTTCTGTAGTCTGAGGAAGACAATTCAGGATTCTGGACTGCTAGCGAATGAGAGGCCCTGTATAGCTGACAATCCTGCACACCACATCACATCACGTCACATTTCTCAATCAAGAGCATCATAATGCAAGGCAGGCAGTAAGTGATCTCACAAAGCAAAGGGGATGCCAAGGAAATTGATCAAGTGATGAGTACACACCACGGCGCTGACAACTGTCCAGATACAGAATAAAGAACATCAAACTACATGCAAGTGAATAAGAGATCAAGAACATACCTTTCCATAATATGGCAATATTTTTCTTCAGCTTTGTTATCAGACCAGGGTTTTCCTCGAGGATATCAATGGCAGTAATGGCAGCACTCGCAAGATATGGGGGCAAAGAAGCAGAAAAGACGTACCCAGAGCTACTCAATCGCTGCCAAATACCATATCCCAAAATTTTATCATTTAGAAACTTTTGACGCTTTTTGTTTAATATATGCATGCACATAAGTGATTGTGAGCACATAATTAAGCATTCACTAAAATAGAAAGATAAGAAAGTCATTTGCTTGTTAAAAATTTCATCTATCAACAGAGACATCATATAAATGGTTAAAAGTGTGTATTCGGTAAACATACTTGGTGATTGGTGACTCTAGCACTTCCAGTGCAAAATCCTCCTTCTGTGGCTAATGCGTGTCCCATTGCACCAGTAATAATATCTATTTTTTCAACCTGCAAAATCACACCACCAGAAATCACAAACAGGTAATGGATCAATAGTTATGAGAGATACAAAAAAAGACGGGTTTCTAAAAATACCGGAATCCTACAGTATTCAGTTACCTCTTCCAGATTTTCCAAGCACACCAAATGAGTTACTCTCATCCAATAACACATGAAACTTATATTTCTCCTTCAATTCAACTATCTTGTCTAAAGGGGCTATTTGGCCAGAATTCTGCAAATTTTATTAAAAGGAAACAAAATTCAAATAAAATCAACCTACATCTAATTGCATTCAGCTATTGAAGTTCTCAGAAAAACTGAAGACAATTTGTCAAGATGCAAATGACAACGTTGAATGTTGAAAAGACAGTTTGTTTTTCTATTTGCCAGTGATTCACGTAGAGATGGAAGCTTTCCTCAAAATGTAACATGACACCAAGACTTTAAGAAAAACCTTAAAAAATTGTGTCCACTGAAGTATGAGCAACCTATTTTGTGAAAGTGGATGATGCTGGATTGAATCATAAAACAGCTCACAACATATAAAAAATGAATAAATAAAATTTGATATACAGGAAAGCAACATACAGGAAAATAACCAAAAATACCAACGAAAAAAAGGGAAAACAATATACAGGAAAATACATTATCTTCATAAGTAAGAAGCAGATTGGAACAATGGAATTAGCAAAAAGCAAAAAAGCCCCAGCTCAAAACCCAATTTTTTTTCTAAATCTAATCCTAGATATGAACATTTCAGCGAAACCTAAACCCTGGACAGGCACAAATATTCAACTCTTCATAGAAAATTTAAAAGAATGACAACCCCAGCAAAAAAAAAAAAAAAAATCCAAACATATCCAAAATTAGCAAGAGAAACACAAACCCAAAAGCAAATCAGCCTCTCACACTAAGCAAACACAGTAGCAGCCATGCACGCCCATGGCTCTTTCATCTCAGGAGGCCATGACTGACGACGGAATAAACAAAAATACCAAAGAAAGATCAGATTCCAAAAAAACCCCAAATCGAAATGAACCCTAGAAATTGAAATTCAGAATTGAAAATTCAAATTGGGGGGAGCTCTGATATTTTACCTAAATAGCAACTTAGGAGTTGCCGCTGCACCACTAATTCACAACTAAGCCGTAGCCATATCCATTCCTCAACAATCTTTGAATTCTAATTAAAACACAAAAAATATTGGAAAATGGTTAAAGATAAGTTATATAACCGCAGGCAAATCCATTCCTCAGCAATCTTTCAATTTTAATTATAAAAAAAAAAAAAAATTGTTAATGATAGGTTACACACCTGACCCAGAAAGCGTTTGCAAACTCCCAAAACAAAACCCTAAAATTAGAAGATAAACGTTTCCTGCAACCAAAAATGAAATCAAACAAAAAATCCACACACAAATCAGCAAAAAATAAAGAAAGCATTTAGCAAGAATCGAATTTTACAACAATCAATTAAAAAAATCTCTCCAGATGAAATGTTCTATTTGTCCTAATAATATTAGGTTATATATATATAAGATTAAAAAGTGAGAGAGAGAGAGAGACGAACCTTCATACGGAGGCTAGCGATCCGGAGCTCGAGAAATCTGTGGAAGCAAATGAAAAAGCCCTGATTTTCCATATTTCTTCTGTTCTAGGATGAGAGAAACGGAAGAGATGGAGCTGTGGCTGCTATGGTTTGAGGAGGACAGAAACAGGAAGAGTGAGAGATGAGAGGGCTCGCGTAGGAGAGAGAGGAAGAGTGAGAGATGAGAGCTGGTTGGGTTCTACTCCTGAGACTCGTGTCCCGTTAACTACAGGCCCCATACTTTTCTCTGACTGTCCCCCCTCTCCCACTCATGAAATCGAGGATCTGCAGCAATGGCGCTGAGATCCCCACACCTCTCTCTCGCTCTGTCTCTCTCTCTCCCTCTCTATCGGAGGCATGGCCTCCCATCCCCAAAACCCTCACTGAATGACAGCAAACCCAAACCCACCCCAATCCGTCTCAAATGCACAGGACAAAATTACCCTCCTAACTTTTAATAACTACGTTCCAACCCAGCCCCAAATCCCACGGTTTTGTTGTAAATAAAGCAAAATCGAGGGGGGAGGAATTGACCTCAAAAGACAAAATCACCCTCTGAATTTTGGAGAATTACCCCCCAACCCAGCCACATTCGGCTGGCATTGTTGTAAATAAAGCAAAATCAAAACAAACGTGAATAGTGCCTGCCCTCCCCCCTACTTTAGAATAAGTAATAGCATAAATGCCCGCGCGTTGCTGCGGGACTTCAATGCACCAGCCTTAACCACATGAATAAGACATTTAACCTAAAAAAAAAAATTCAACATAATCATGAACGAACAAAAGGGATAGATGAGTGAAAGATGTCGGTAAGATGAGCAATTCAACTTTTATATACATTCAACCAAGCTGATTATAAAAGATACAGTTGCAAAAAAATGCTCTGTTTCTTGAGAAACAGAAGCAACATGCATTTAACACTTATATTGCTCTTCAAGTTAAGATGGCAAAATATATGTCATGCAAGCCAGACACGTGTTTTAACAGTTAAACAAAAAAGCTTAAAAAGTGTGTTGTTCTTGTTTCATAAGCCAATCTTTCAAGCACTAATGTATGGATTAATGTAAAATATCTAAGATCCTATTTGTTTTTTTTTTACTGATGCTTCAACATCATCCACCCGATTCATATCACATCCATAGATACATGAGAACGCTTATTCCCACCACCACTGCATTGTTACTTTAATAAATGGATCCTTTTCGATAATCTCAGGTCATCGGATCTCAGTACAGAAAAGGGCCAAATATTTTTTAGGTTCAAAACAAATGCAAATGCCATTACAATAGCACTAACCCTTCTTAATTTTCGACACCGCAATCCTCCTAACTCAACTTAATAAGTAACAGTCTAATTCTTTCTTAGCCAAAACTAAGCCGAAAATTGTCAATCCCATAACCGACATAGAATAAAGATGAATTCAAAACTCTAAATAAATGTAAGTTCTCATATATAAATTCTGTCTCCAAGGTAATTTTCTTACTCTGAAAACTTTGATCCACAAAACCAAATTACATTTTTCAGCAAAAAAGACCACTTAAACAAACCAAATACAATATACAAACACATCTATTCAATTTAGCTTGATTTACATCATCAAAAGTTCATTCAAACAACTAAAAGGGCACAAATAAAAAAATTGAAAAACCAACCTTTTTCAAATAGCAACTGTTTCCCAATTCTTAGAACAAAATGCTATCATCTTTTGAACCATACAACTTTCATACAATCATAAATCATCAAACCCCTTCATACCATCAAGTTTGTACAAAAATATAAATATTAAAAACCAAATCCCAAACTTAAAAGCCAAAATTAAAATTAGTAAATAAATTGGGAATGTTTTGACGATGGATGATTACGTTATTAGGAGCGTCATAATTAGATGAAATATGTGTGGTCTGCTCTGATTGACTAAAAAAAGAGAATACCATTGGGGATGGAAGGAGGGGCACACTGACTGGACCCAATAGAATTGCAAAAATGTATTCACAATTCGCAAAAGAAAGAACTCACTTGCTTAACAGGCTCAAGCACACAAAATTTTCCTGCAACTCTTTTGCCTGAAAAATTAAGAACTCAAATCATGAGTATAGGATTGAGTAACTCCAAGAAAAAAGAACGCTGGAATACATAAAAACACGGCTAATTCAAGCATAAACTATCAATGAAAAATTAATACATCAAGTTTGTTTTCCCAATCTACACCATAAATATTTCTCAAAATTGAACCAACCTTGAACACAAACTAAGAAAACTCCTTGGAAAAATCTATGATGCTGTAAAACACCCCAATAAGTAGAAGAAAATAAGATGCCAAGAATTCATGAGCAGATAATTATAAGCTAAAGGAAAGAAAGGAGACTGGGAAACATACTTCAGCTTTGCAGCTCTCAAAATTTGGAAGAGAGAAAATCCATTATCATCAGAACTCTTCTGTGAATTATCCGAATTCTTGTCGCTCAAAGATTTTACAGAGTACAGAACAAAAGCAAACCAGAATTGTTTTGCTTCTTCAAGCAGCACATAGAAATGCATTTAAATTAGACCAAATCCATATTAAAGCAAGTGTTCCAGCAAAAGGATTCTAAAAGAACACCTCAAACATTATTTCATTGTACCATTATTAATATGACTATAGAATGGAGAAACAACAATACCTACTATTCCGTTGCCAATGGCTGATGCATTTGATATTAACAGATCTTGGTTTCTTTGAACAGATTTGCAGCTTGCTTGTAAGAGTTCTCATCCATTGACAATACTTTCTGTAATCAAAACCATATAAATCCACAGAAACTAAAATCAAGAAATGACAACATAAACAAAAAAGAAATTCAAAAAGTAAATAGAAGTAGTTTATAAACTATACTTTACAAACAAAATGACATTTACAATAAGAAAGAACAAAACAATAAATTCGATCACAATCGAAAGGGGGCAAAGAGCGGCAACCTTGCACAATTCCATGTAAGTATACAAACTAAAAGTCATTTATCAAACAAACTCATATAACCAACATACAATTACATATATCCTTGGCTTCTATGGAAATAAAAAATACTTGTACTATATTAATGGCCCTCTTTAAAAAATTTGAGAATAAGCAGCTCAACAGCTGCATTGATAATAACAAAAAAAAAGTGCATAGCACTACTATACACTTTTTTATACTGAAAGACTAAAAAACTGAGGAAATTAAACCTTATTTGAAGATGGAACACGTTTGCATTTCACAGAACCAACTAACAAACGAACTCACCTTATTTGATCAGAAGTTTGAGTCGATTGCTCCAAATCGTTCTCCTACCAAAAACAAAAACAAACACCCTAAATAAGGAGCTATGTTGGTTCCCAAACATTAACAATTGTTTCACTGGTATCTTTCATCAAACAGGTGGTGATCGCTGCTACTACAAAGGATTGAAGATTAAGTATTTGCAAATTGACCACAAAAATAACAAAACCGCATCAAAATCCCAATTTTCAATCCCACTGAGCAAAAACTAATATGTTAAAATAGGAAAAATTTCTTACTATTTCAATATATCCAGAAAAATGGTTCCTTTGGCTTATGAACCTGACATGGACACATGCAACTCCCCTATAGAAATTAAAAAATAAAAAAAACCACCACCTGAAATACTAAAAGGAAATAATTAGACCCAATGCTATCTGATGAATTTCCATCAAATTGAACTGGGCTTCAAATAGATCGGCTGAAATTAAAAATGCATTCAAATACATGAACAAAATATTAAACAACAAAAATTCAAGAGAATTCAACTTTGCAATAAATTGTGGATCCCAGAACAAAATAATTATCCCTTTGTTTATTTCCTTAGCTAGCCACCATACTATAAAAATTCCTCAATCTCTTGTATCTCACAAAGAGAATCATATGCATGTCCATCTCAGCTCATAAAAACGAAAGAACATAGTAGGGTTTCTTAGTTTCTCACCCAAATCCACCAATTTGAATCGAATCTCAGCAACCCAGCTTGAAATCCGTCTCAAATCACCTCCACAAACACAATTCTAAACATACATTAAGACGAATCAAATAAAATCTAAAATTCAAAATTTGGAAAATTCTAACTTTGATATGCTATCGCTACTTGTGTTCATTAAATTTGATGGCACTGTCAGTGAAAATGTAACTTTAGGGCTACTAATATGTTTACTAAACGGCAAGGAAATCAATTCAGTGGGATGAATGGTCCCATATCACAAAACATACTAATTAGAATAGGGTTACTTGGTGATCTCCTCATCGTTGAAATTGCAACAGGAGATAATCTACTATTAACTCAAAACAACTTTGAAATTGAAACGTGATATAAAAGTATTTCTTGTACATGCAACCAACAGGTCTCCAGAAAATTAAGGATAAATTGAAAATCAACTATTCGTATCGAGATGTTCAATCAAATCGAAGAAAATTCACAGCAAAACGGAAAATGAAAACAGAAACTCACTTGGAATCAGCTTTTCTGGGAGCATCAAACCTGCAAACAAAACAGAAGTCAGATGGAGGAAAATAAAGATTAAGAAAATACCCAGGAGGAGCCTGGGGGTAGATTATATGTTCACATATGTATTCACAACAACAAAAACCCAAACCCAATTTATACAATCAAAATTTGCAGCAGACGAAACTAAAAACCATAGAACCAAAAGATAAAAAAACAAACTGACCCCAGCGGCTAGGTATGCTTCCTTTTTCATTTCTTCTTCCCCACCCCCAATTGGTTTTTGTTTCTCGTGAAGCTCACTCCGCACCCCATCCCCCAATTCTTTGCAGCTTCCCCATCTCTTTTCTCCATCGTCTTCCTCTTCCCTTCTGATTTTTCTTCTCCTTTGATATTGGTTGCTGCTCAAGACCTACACCAAGAACAAAGACACAAAAATTGTTATTCACATATTATCTTTCACAGTTTCACGGATCCATCCTATTTGGACTTAATAAAGATAAAGGTGAAGATCTATACCTTTTTATTTTCTCGGATCTGAAATTTTTGAGAGCCCCTTCCTCCTTTTCTTTAGTCTAGACAACGGATTGAGAAGCCCATTACCCATTAATTAACCCCAAAAAATGCAAAGAAGAAGGAAAAAAAAAACAAAAGAATAAATATATAACACACATAATAAAATAATGCAATAAATATTTAATATAAACAAATCAACCATATTGAAATTTCAATTTGAACAGAACTATATATAAACCTAGTATTAACATTTAGTCCGATCTAAGAAAACGCAAGCAAAACAGCCAGCAAAAAATCAAAGTTAATTATTCAAAAACCTTAAATCAGTTACCTTTCATACAGAAGATCTTGGAAGACAAACATAGATGCACCAAATACCAAGAAGAAAAGGTTTTCAAACCCTGCAAAAAAGAAAATCACTATTTATCATCAACTACATTGCATAGGATCTAATATGCAAACACTACAATTATGTTTAAAATGTGAAGCTTTACAAAAAAAAGCTAATCAGTTACACAGCCAAATCAAATTATATGAAATTCCAGCAAAATACAACCAAATAGAACACAAATGGACCATAAAAAATACGAAATATGTATCAATCATTGTTCATAATTTTGGTTATACTATAATTGTAATTAAATTCAATATGTTTGTTTACTTCTTATACTCATCCAACCTGTTCATGACCTATTTAATAGTTGTCTTGAAAGACAACACACAAAGACGACCTGGCAATAGCAAAATCAAACACAAAAACACAAACTCTCATCTTTTGGATTACTTATTACCTATTTCATAGTCCCTCATTTCCTTCGACCCCATAACAGAATAACCCAAACTCTGTCTAACTTTCTGAAAAGTTGTAGGAAGCAATCATGGCTGATGTTGCCGATTCAGACTTAATGACATAGTGATTAAGAAATACAGTCTAAAACCCCTGAAAGACTCTTTGATTGTCAATTTTTGACAAACCATGTACTTGATTTTCTCCTCTGGTTCGAAAACTGAAAGCCAAAAAATTAACAACCAAATTCGGTAAAGTAACAAACCACAACGAAAACTCAAATATTTGGCTTCTGGGTAGTTGAGAAAAAGTGAGATTTAATTACTTGTGGAAGGTTAGAGAAATTGGGAGCAGCATGAGTGAGGACATCAAAAAGCAGAGATAAAAAACATGAGGAAGCAGAGATCAAAGGAATCACAAAACAGAGATGGAAGTGACTGCAACGTGCAGTGAAGGCCGCATGACCGAAATCGTTAACCCGTTGCAGAACAGCCAAGATAATAAGGAATAAAGATATGAAACAGAAGGTAAACAAAATTGTAAATAATTCAATTGATTACTGGTAGGTGGTGCATATCTCTTCATATATACATATATATATATATATATATATATGTATATATGTAGACGTAAAGATTTAACAAATTATTAGCAAAGGATGATCATATATGGTTAACAGTGGAAATTATTACTGAGCTACTTTGAATTTTCACATAAAGAAGGTCTTGCTTCAGTACTTAAGTATTATCATTACCTTACAACCACTGAAATTAATCAAAATATCCTAATAAAATAAAAAGATGAATAAGAATCTCATATGACCATTTATGTCTTCATTACATACACAAATGCAGCATTTGGTGTGTGAGAATAACAAAAGAAAACCCTTTTGAAAAGGTTTTCTTTCATTGGACAGAACAATGAAAGTAACATTTCATCACAACTACGTTAATTCAGTACAACAGTCATTTGTGATCAGTAATTTAGCATGAATGAGAATTAAGGGTGGCCAGAATATGCAAACTTGCAAGCACGACCTGGTTCTCAGAGAAGTTATGTCATGGAACCAAGTTTTAGTTTTATAGGTTATACCATGGAACCAAGTTTTAAAAACACGTTAATCACAAAACAAAAAAGCCACCCAGAGAAGCTGATCCTCTCTTGATGAAAAATCTCAGCAAGGTTTTGATACTAACTCTATTGTCCCATTCCATTATAAGTCTATCAAAAAAATAAATCAAATTCAGAAAAAAAATTCTCAAAAATCTTACAGAAATCCATAAATCCACATCTAATTTACAGGAAATTTCAAGTCCTCTGAAATCTCTCACTCTTAAAATTCTAAAGATCCATCACTCCAATCTCTAAACTAAATTTTGATTTAATCTAATATTGTAGCAGTAAAATGCAAACACTCAAATGTCATGAAACCAAACCAAATCTGCTTCAATTGAAGTCTAAACACTTGAATTTAATCTCAACATTGAAAACGAACACTTCATTTTTACAAAAGTTGTACATAGGGGAAAAAAAAAGACAAAACCAAATCTCACAAACAGCCACCGACAACAAAATTGAATACATAACCATGAATATTGATCCACCAGAAAAACTATACCATCAAATTCAATACCGAATCAGTTCGAATTAACAATATTCTTCATGAACTTAGTAGACTTTTTTATGACCGACAGAGAATTTAATTACTTTTTATTCCAAAAACGATACATTTTAAAAGACAGCTTATAATCAACTTGGGGACATCAGACCACCTATGAGTATCAAGATTTCAAATTGCAAATTGAGTTTACAATTATAGGAAACAAATAGAGGTTTAGTTGTTCTCTGAATCTGGAAGTACCTGCGATGTTTTTTGAAAAGACTATTCGCAATAGCTTAAACCAACTCTGTCCCTTTCATTATACTGTCCCTTTCAGAATTTCACCCACTGAACAAAAACCCATCAGCATAGTGTGAAAAAATCACTGTTTCACTTAAAGACTGCCACTTTACTGATGGGATTAATCCAAATAAAATCCCAACTAAACAGGCTATAAACATCCATTACAATTTTATTGACACAAAAAAATGTCAATCACAGTTTTAACAAAGCAAATGGAAAACCAAACAATAAACAATGATTTCTGAACAGTGTTTTACCTGTTGAATCAGAGGACAAAACTGAAAACCCTCCCCTCTCCCATACCTCCCTCAGACATCCTCTGCTCAGCAACCCCGTGGGGTAACCCGTTAACCCCAAAAAACGCAGAGCATGCTCTCTGCCCTCTCTCTCTCCCTCCCTGTCCATCCGTCCCTAAAGGAGGGTCAGGTAGAGGAGAGGGGAGGCGGAATCGAAGACCAGTAAATCCAAAACCTGCAGTCTCATCAGGAAAAAAAAATCACTAAAAAGAAAAAGGCAGAAAAATGCAGGGTATTCTTCCCGAAGGCAGCAACATATCTAACATTCTTGGAAAGAAAATTCGATCACGAATTGAAAAAAAAAAAGTGAGAGAGAGAGACGAACCTTCATACGGAGGCTAGCGATCCGGAGCTCGAGAAATATGTGGAAGCAAATGGAAGAGCCCTGATGTTCCATATTTCTTCCGTTCTAGGATGAGAGAAACGGAAGAGATGGAGCTGTGGCTGCTAGGGTTTGAGGAGGACAGAAACAGGAAGAGTGAGAGATGAGAAAGGGCTCGCGTAGGAGAGAGAGGAAGAGTGAGATCACCCAAAAGGTCAGAGATTTCCAAAACCAAAAGGAAATTAAGAGAGAGAAACGAAGGGGAGAGAGAGAGATCGGAGTACCCCCATACTTTTCTCTGACTGTCCCCCCTCTCCCACTCATGAAATCGAGGATCTGCAGCAATGGCACTGAGATCCCCACTCCTCCCTCTCTGTCTCTCTCTCTCGCTCTGTCTCTCTCTCTCTCTATCGGAGGCATGGCCTCCCATCCCCGAAACCCTCACTGAATGACAGCAAACCCAAACCCACCCCAATCCGTCTCAAACGCAGAGGACAAAATTGCCCTTCCACCCCAGCCCCAATACCAGCCCAAACCTCACGGTTTTGTTGTAAATAGCGTGAAATCGAGTGGCTCCCTGCTAAACCATATGGACAAAATTACCCTCTGAAATTTTGAGAATTACCCTCCCAACCCACTCCCATTCGGCTGGTATTGTTGTAAATAAAGCAAAATCAAAACAAACGTGAACAGTGCCTGCCCTCCCCCCTACTTTAGAATAAGTAATTGTTAATAAGTCCAAAAATATGCAGTCACAAACCGTCATCATATTCAAATATAGAGTCTAAAATGTGCTTACATTATTACATTTGATTTTTTTAGTGTAATTAGAACACAATGTGGTATATCATGTGTCATAATAGTGGAGGGATATTGAGAAATGTATCATAACATAATAACCATGTCGTCCACTTATATTATAACGCATGATTTACTACCTTGTGTCCCGGGTACACATAAAAATTTCTCGACAAAATGAGACTTAAAAGCGTATATAAAAACATGCAACTTTTATGGTTGGATGTCTTAATCTATTTTACTTGTATGGTTGAATGTCTCTGGTGGATATCGTGCCTTGTAGTGTACTCAATCCTTAGCTTTAATATATACCACCCAGCAATGCGGCGTCTCTCTCAAGTATTAATGCAACTCTCAGTTAAACTTTTCACTGCTGTTTCATCAACTTTTCAAGAACAAATAAATATGGAGCGGTAAAAACTTCGATATACTTGCTCATCTCGTTTGGAAGTTGAGACACTTGATACCGTAGGCAAAGACGAACAAGAACAGGAGCACGAAACCAATATGAGCCACGACGACGGCTCCGAGGAAGTCATATTCAAACCCTAATCTTGTCTTGAGGTACATCTGCACTGACATATGAGCTTCTCCTGGAACTTCAACTAATGAAGTTCTGTCTCCCACTTGGGATGTCACTAGTCCGTAGATTGTCCAAGCCACCGGTGAACCCCAGTAGTACCATCGCCACCATATCGGGATTTGCTGCAACATCAGCATATATATAAATAAAATGCAATGATTTCTTTCATATATGTCACACAAAAGTGATTAGCATTCATGTGTATAACTTGTGATGAGAAAATGTTTAACATATTATAAGCTTGCGCGGGACACTTACCATCCTAGGGAGGAGGAAACCAGAGAAGAGGTTCCAGAAGCTCAGGAAAAAGGACATCACAATGGCCGCAATTTGGTGGCCTGGCGTGAGAGCTACAAGCATCATGCCGTACAATGTGAAGTAGATAAAGCACATCAATATAAAGTAGTAGAACAAGAAGAACTTGTCAACGTGCCAAGTGAACCCCATCATTGAAAAGAGGATGAGACTATACGCCAGAGTTTGGATTGCAACGTAAATTGTTTCAATCGCCACCTGCAGGGGATACGAAATTTACTGTATATCTCTATGGAAGATGAAGTTTTCTTTTGATTGAACTCATGCATCAACTTTCCTAACTTGATATAAAGGTTTCGGCTTCTTTTACCTGAGCAAAAGCATAAGGCAGCGCAGAGTACATCCCTGCTGCTCTTTCGCGGTAAAATACTGTTCTTTCAACTGCCACAATAGGCTGCACTGAGGCGGTGTTGGTTGCTCCAAGGAAGAGAACGGCAGAATACATGGCTCCCACTAGATTTAGTAGGTCTTGTTCCTTATGTCTATTCGGATAACATTTTGCAATAAACTTTAGAAATATGCAACAAATACGAAAGCAAAGTCTATTGTACTTGATTCTAACAAAAAAATGAGAAACCTTATGTCTTACGTTTGATCTCCTTTGTTCCAGAAAATTAGTCCAAAAATAATACCAACAATTATAGTCAGAAAGAGCCGGATGGCGTTGTATGGCGGGTTCCTCCAGTATGACCAATGTTGTTTCCAGAAGCAAGCTTTGCATTGAGTAAGAAAAGACTGAGAGTATTTGGTTGGGAAATAAAGGTCTTTGGATCCCGGGACTGGAGTGCTTAGCTCTGTTATAAGTTCTTGATTCTTCCTGGAAAGGAGAAATCAAATGATATAAACATCGTGTTAGCGTATTACTGAAGAACTTTTAGCAAAAGGATGCACAACGATGCAAGTTACAATTGCGGTCCTAAATGTTCCACTTACCTATAAAGTTCAGAGTTCGCGTATATATCCCCAAAATCCACATTGAGTCGGGACTCAACTGCAGGAGAAGTGATTTCCAGCATCCATGTTGCAGGATTGTAGCCATCTCTGATCTTTGTAATTCCGGGAATAGCCTGCAAGACGTTATAGACATTAGTTTGACAATGAAAGTAGCGTGGGGTTTATAATTCAACAATTTCTAACGACCATGTCACAAGTAATACTCACTTCAAAATATTCTATGAGCTTTTGAGAACAGCGGCCAAGGGGTCCGGCATAAATCACTTGTCCACCTCTCTTCATCAACAGAAGCTGTGAGGAAAAAAGGAAAACAAATTGAATTAAAGCAAGTAGCAAACAAAAACTACAAATTGCAAGACTCGGGCCACTAGTTTCGGACAATGAGATTGTCGAATACCTCATCAAAGGCTTCAAAAATGTCTATGCTTGGCTGATGAATAGTGCAGACAAGCGTCCGACCTGTATCCACAGTGTTTCTCACTGTACGCATTACAATTGCAGCAGCTCTTGCATCAAGACCTGATGTCGGCTCATCCATGAAGATTATGGAGGGATTCGCCACCAACTCTACAGCTACGGTTAATCTCTTTCTCTGTTCTGTTGACAGACCATCTATTCCAGGAAGGCCTACTAAGGAATTCCTCAGAGGTTTTAGCTCAACCAAATCCATGACTTCCTCCACAAACATCTACATGTCAGAAAGGAGAAAACTACGATAAATATATATTGTGGGGGAAGAAATTAAAAACCTGTATTGACAAATTTGAATGTCACAAAAAAATGATAAAATCAACAATGAGTTATGTGTCGAAGAAGATACCTGTCGTGTTTCCTTCGTAATTTCCTTTGCAAGACGCAACCAAGCAGAGTAAACGAGAGATTCATAAACAGTTACATTTGGAGAGTGGATATCATTTTGTTCACAATAACCGCTAACTCGAGCAAAGGTTTCTTGGTTCTTTGGGTAACCGGAAATGCTGATACTTCCTTCAATATAACCACCAGTTTTCCTTCCTGCTAGCACATCCATCAAGGTAGTCTTTCCTGCACCGCTGACGCCAACCAATGCTGTTAGAACACCAGGCCTAAAAGCACCACTAACATCTCGCAACAATTGGAGGCGATCCTCTTCAATTCCTTGGCGTTTCATTTCCTGATGAACAACTAACAGCTCTCAGCATTCATGGGGGATGGACTTAAACAATTTCACCATAATGTGATGCTGCGTACCGAAAAAGATACATAGAAGACTTACAGCAGGCATATCGACATAGTAGTTCACATGATCAAATGCAAGTGACAAAGGCTGAAACTTCAGCACCATTCCTCGCTTTGTAGATTTCATCACTTCCATATCAATACCTGTAGTTATTCACATCGTATCATCATTAGCATGCTTTCTTTATCTTCTTTTTAAAAGAAACATTTGCAGTATGCATAACTCTGTATCTTTTGAACCTTTAAGCATTGGGGTAGTAAATGCTGAACTCAATTCTGTGGATCCCATTGTATCCAAGATTGGCTGCTTTTTACTTCCCTGCTTGTCATCGTCCTCCAAAATAATAGATTTAGAATCTCCGAAAGCTGCAAACGGTTTTGAAAGCAGTATTGAACTCAAAATCTTATTCACATAACTGAAATAATGCTTGTCATGAGAAATGATCGCTTACGGTTCAGAAAAGTCAGTGCTGCAATAAACAAGATGTTGAAAAGTAGGGAAAACCCGAGGAGTGCTCCTATGCATATCCAGTACCAGTACTCTTCTGTAAACATGCCTCTGGCCTTTAGGAGAGCCTTTCCAACTGTTGGTTCTGGGATTCGCGGGTCAATATTCGGCTGTAACAGAGAAAAAGTATAATAATGTCAGTCAGATATGAGAATAGACGTGGCCTCGGACATAAAATGACAATAGGAAGGAGATCTCACTGCACTCCATCTTTCGTCAAGAAATTCATTGATGGCTATGGCATTTTGCCCATACATCATAGGAGAAATATAGTAGCCCCATATCATCCATGGTTCGATGTCATCTGTATGAAACGGAGAAGACAACATTTTCATTCATACAGGAATATAACAAACTAATACAGAAACTTGAGTCATTATTCTATAGATGGGACAACTAAAAGCGCAGTGAACCTTTGGCAACAATGAATCCGCCGAGGACAAAAACCAATAGCAGTGTGAAGGTGCCAAGTGTGCTTGCAACAATTTGTGTTCTGCCAAGAGCTGCAATGAAGCGGAAGAGTGATAGGGCCATCTGATGCACGCTGAATAATGCCAATAGTTGGCGGAAAAACCTGCATCAATTTCAAATGTACTGCTGAGAATAGTTTAAAGAAGTCGTTATCATCTGTGGATCGTATCTAAACAATAAAGATAGCATTGTACACACACGTTAGTTACGCTTTTGGGCACATACCTACTAGCTGCAGGAGCAAAACCGATGGTGTAATATGTAAGAATGATCCATAATCCTGATTCAATCAGTGATACGGGGATCCTGAGGACCCAAATTGGTAAGCTAAAAGCCCATGCCGGGTGTAACAATGCATCTCTCTGTTTAAAAAATACAGGAAGCCTGAATATAGTCATTGCTAGCTCTGTCATCCCGTTGAACATTACATTTATGAGACTGAAAAATAGTGCACCATAAAACTTCCCCCCATCCTGTAATCGACCGTGCTTCATTTCTGTTCTCAAAAAAATTGTCATGGCAATTATTGACATGATTGTGAGCTGACTAGTCTTGAATATGTATAGAGCAGAGTTCCGCTTCATCAGGAGCCACTCTCTTGCAAAGCACGCGTTGAAGAGTTCCCAGTTTGAGATTCCGTACTTTTTTTTCACTAATGCAGCTGCATGAGTTTTAGATCTATCATAAGGAATCCGGAGTTCTTCAGACAGATTTTGACCAATTTGGTAACTTCTAAAATAATCTGAAAATTCCGATGCGCTAATATATCGGTAATTTTCATTCTGCCTAAACCAGTATTGTTCTTGGTCCTTTCCGGAAATAACCTCCTGCAGGAAGTCTGCCACTCCTTTCCTTTCCGGACACTTGAAACCTACACTCTCAAAAAATTCGAGTGCATTCTCTCGTGGACCTTGGTAAACAATCCGACCATCTGAAAGTAAGATAATGTCGTCAAAAAGGTCAAAGGTTTCAGGTGCAGGTTGCAGAAGAGAGATTGTCATGGTGATATCCATTGTATGAACCATCTGCCTCATAAACTGGACAATTTCGAATGTTGTCGAACTGTCTAAACCAGTTGATATTTCATCCATGAAAAAAACTTTTGCTGGTCCAACCAACATTTCTCCTGCATTCATCCGCACCAGCTTCTTATTAGAAAACAGGGTTGTGTTATGAACTGTCCGTTAAGTGTTTTTCTCTTGCATTTTTGTGTATTGTATACAAACCTGTAGTAAGACGCTTCTTCTGTCCACCAGATATGCCCCTTCGCATCTCGTCACCCACTAAAATATCAGCACAAATATCTAATCCAAGTAGCTGTTAAAGTTTCTTAGTTAGTACCAATTTTAGACTCCATGTGTGTGATCCAAAAAATAAGTAACCAACAAGAACAAGCTAACCTTCAGAATATAGTCCGTAAATAAACTGGTTTCTTGTCCTGCCAGAGCTGTGGCTTTCATGAACGTATCAATCTCAGGATCAGGTGTAATTCCTGATTCTTTTTCTCGTCTGGACAATTCCGCCAGTAGCTCGTATCTGGTTCCAACCCCTAAGCATCTTCCTGAAAAATCCAACGTTTCTCTTACTGTCATCTCACCATTGTGCAGATTATGCTGGCTGATATACGCGCATGTTCTTTGAGGAAAAAACTCTGAAAATTCATGACCACAGTAAGTGATCCTTCCGGATACCTGTTATATGATGGGGATCAAGTTAACATTTCTAATATTTAGAACTATTATTTGTGAGATACTGAACTTCACAGAAATAGTTTGTGCAATCTTCATGATAAAAATTTCCAAAACCGGTCGAACTAACAAGAATCATAAACATTTACTTATTGTAATATTTCAGCATTTGCATGCTTCATGATGAACAATAAGACTGAGGGGCGATGTTGCCTAACATATGAAAGACATTGTTAGTGTGCAAAGGAAGGAGGATGCCGCACCCTTAGATCCTTATCCGTCCTGCCAGCAAGTGCCTGCAGGAAAGTTGTCTTCCCTGATCCTGGAGGTCCCAGAAGTAGTGTCATTCTGGAAAACGCTAACAAAATCAGCATAGTACGTAGCACGAGTTAAACAAATACAGTCAATCCATTTAGTACATCGGTCATATTAAATCAGAAGAACGACAAAAGTTTGCCTATTAGAGAACATCTGGGTGTCTGATTGACAATGTCAGTCTAGGAATCAAAGAACAACCAATTTCAACATGTAAATTTGAAAAGAATTAGACATTACCGTGATGGCTTAACTATTCCACTCACGTCACGAAGTATCTTGACTACTCTTTTCTTTGACGGGAAGAGCTTAATGAGTCCAAGAATCCCCTATTCATACAAAACACAAACTTAAGAATAGCAGAACAAAATATTCTCTCTCAGTAGACGCATACATACTACGTATGCACACACATACTTACCAGTTTCTATTAGGTATAAATAAACACAATCTTTAGAAGTACGAACTGTTACTACAATTCACTATTGTATACAATCATATTACCACAGAAAAAATTTGCTCGAAAAATTCCATATTACACTAATCGAGAAAAAAAGGTAGAAACGATTCACCCTTTTCAGATCAAAGAACTCAAAAACTGAAGATGAAATTATATACAGCTTTATCCTTGCACATATGATTACAAATAAATATAATCGTGGATTTGCAATCTTACAGAAAAAGGGGAAAGAACAGAGAAAAATGCAAAGAAAAAAAAGTACAGAAAAGCAGAAAACAGAACAAAGTACCTCTATGGCATTCATGGAGGAATTCAGCAGAGTAGGAAGTGCTCTGGTTCCAACATATGCATCCCCTTCAACTGATAAATGCTCGAACCGAACTTCAACCTTCGGAATCTCAATCCCAACCCTGTCAATACAAAATCAAACACAGTTTCCAACTTCTAAATCACCAGATAAAAAGTATTTATCACCACAAATATCTGTAAAGAAAAAACCATATAAAAGTATGAATCATCCACCTATTAGTCCTATCTCTCAGCCTTTGAAGGAACTTCTCATTATCCTGTTCAGCAATCTTGAGTATATTCTCCATGATTTTCTTCTTGTCCAGCCTTCCGAGATTGGTAACGTCGATCTCTTCATAACCAACATTTCCATTATCCAACACATGCTTAAGCATCCCTCTTCTTAACCTATCAATTGTTGGAAGCCTCTCTATCGCTGCCCATTTCAACTCCTCCTCGTCCTCCTGGTCTGCTCTCCCGCTGCGGTGGAACACATCCCCCTGATTGCTCCACACTTCGCGAAAACTCGTGGACGCCCAACTTCTCCTGCTCACTGATCCATGGCTCCTCCTCCCGCTGCTCACAGCTGATCCATGATCTCGGGCCAATTCCGACGCCATTTTTTACTTTATTTTCTTTATACAATGGTGTATTCAATGCTGTATATGTTGCTAGTAAGTTGCCGGATGCTCTGTCGAAGACCTCAAATGGACCGAAGCTATGGCCGTGGAGATGCATGCATTGGAAAAAAAAAAAAAAAAAAAAACCTGGTGGGGGTGCGAACAACTTTCAAATCATATAGCTTTTGTTTCAAAGAACAAAAATTGAAGCAAATAATGCATGAAAATCTTGAATGACTAGTTGCATGGCTTGTGAGAGAGAGGGGGGGGGGGGGGAGAGAGAGAGAGAGAGAGATAGATGAGTATTTTCAGAGTTTGGGGGACAGTTGAAAGGGAGATCCTTGGAGGATACTTTATCTTTACTTCCTCACTTTTTGGAAAGCTCTCCATGAATGTAGACGTGGTTCATGAAGAAAGTTAAAGTTCAGGTTTCATGGAGACGTAGTTTTTTTTTTTTTAAAAAGTTAAGGTTTTAATAATTAGATAATTATAAGCACATGCAAGGTTTCTTTGTATTTTAGATGTGGGATTCATTCTCTTAACACGGGCCCTCACTTGTGACAAGTTTTCAAGTCTAGCACGTACGTGGACAACACAAACGGATGATGTGAGTACTTGTGGTCATTAGCTTCACACACGAGATATCTTGCTCTGGTATCATAAAGGAATTTTACCATAAAACCGATTGATAATATGAGAAGTAGTCCAACTTATAAGCATATTCATACTCTCATCAAAATTTTCTAAGATTTGTGACAACGTAATACCGACAATAATATATACTAGATATTATATAATAGGGCGAGCATATTTTGCCATTTTTTTCAATCCGGTTTTTTTTTTTTTTTGAACAATCGATATTATCTACACTAAGGAGAGGGGGTGTGCTTAACCTCACAATGGACTAGCAATAAATTGGTGCAAATTCGCCTTTAGCGAGATTTGAACCTAAGACTTCTCACTTATCAGTGAAGAGGAATACCTTCCAATAATATTAATAACACAAGAAGTCTTCAAAGAAATATGGAGGAGAGAAGTAAAGTAGCATACATTTTCTATTACAAATGATATTGTTATTTAAATTAAACTAAAAATGATAGAGTTTGAACTTATCGTAGTGCATCAAAGAGGAAAGCTTTATTCCTCAGAACAATCCACTGAACAAAAACCTCACACCATCTATAGTATCAATCAACACCTCTTTCATCTCTCCTTGAACTCTATTCTCACATTTTCAGCCGGTTTTATCGTTTTTGCGTTTTTAATAACGAAGGAGTGCATGACTACTATTTTAAAGTGTCAATAACGATTTATTTATTTTTGTGGATGCCAATAACAGCTTAAGATAGCAACAGCTTAAGATAGCGAAAATCGAGTTCTTCTAAGAAAAAATATATATATAATTGTCAACCACAAAAAAAAAAGTACGAAAAACAAGTAATGAGTTTTGTCCACAGAAATTGATGATGTCGGTGGGTTTTAGAGAAAACAACCAAGATAAACGGCACCAAGAAACCATTAATAAATTTAAAGTTTGGTCCGGGAAGAAAGTTCAGTTGTTGCCCCACTCCCTCGCATAATCCACTGTACCATTTATGGACCTCCCTTTCCCAGCAAATCAAAGGTAAATGATATTTTGCTGTTTATTCTACTCGATTTGTTCTTGTCTGCTGCTGTCAATTCTTGGCATTGAACACCGTACCTTCATGATCTTAATTAATCCCATATTGTACAATAAGTGGATGAGGGGACTTGAATGGCATGGAAACACCGTTATATATAGTGCCTTTTTGTGGAGAGAAACTAACCAATATACTTGCATTATTAGCACGAGACGCCACTATAGTAAAGTATTCACGCCATACAAGTTTCTCCTCTGTATTTGTTAGGACTTTTCTGAATCTATAATTTTTTTTGTTTGAAAGAATGATAATGGATTAGGCTAGTCGACTACGCAAAAGGCTTGGTTGTCAGATTACAATTTTAGACCTTATTGTCTAAACCCGCACAAGGCGAAAAGAAAGAACCAAGACCCCATAATTAGCCATCAACTACAAGTAGGTTACTTCCTTCTCGTTCATAACAATTAGAAAGGGCTAACTCTTTGATAGAACAACCCCTCGTCCCCTGTCTAAAAAATTATTAATAAAGAAAAGGTGAAAATAAAATAATACAAGCGGGGGAAGAAGCCAAAACCCGCGAAGAGTTAAACAAAGAAACATCAACGAAAATGAAAATAGGATGAACTCAAGGTCATGAGCATTGGCGGCAGCTGCAAAATCTAGAACAATGGCCCACCAATAATAAGTACTACCAGCCGAGAAGCTAGAGCATCAGCAACTTGATTACCCTCCCAATAAATGTGTGTAGAAAAAACGCTCATCTCATGAATGCGCTATAAACAATTGTTCCAATCGACCAAGAGATATTGAGGAACTGATATGCCTTTACATTCTAGTGGTGACACAGATTTCGTTTTCGTTTTCGTTTTCTCTATTATTAATCCCCATATAATCACTCAGATTTTAATTTGAAACTATGGGAATTACATATTATCTGAATTTCATTGGATATAGTGGTGGAGAAGGAAGAACAAGTCACATTCTCCTCCTCTCCTCTTTGTGTTTTCATATTTTTGTCTTTGCGAATGACAAGTCCTTTGTGATGACGTTATTTGAGTCACATTCAGAGCAAATTATACATAGTCACTTTTATGTTCATCCACTGTTAGAAAACTTCAAATCCTGTCCTTAAACGTTGTTGATTTATTTTCTTTTACATTTTGGCTAACATTGTTTCAATTCCCAATTTGAAGGTCTTGGCAAGTCAAGAGGTATCTTATTCACAATTTTGCACAATTAGACGAATAAAGGTTATTGAATCTTTTTCTATATCCACTTCTCTGTGATTTTCTCAACTAGATGCGGTGATGTTTTTTTGGTTCCTAAGGCCATCTCCAACCTTTGAAGTAAAACTCAAATTTTAGGTTCTAAATTTACCCAAACTTGCTCCAACATGAGATAAATATGAGTTTTTGACCAAAAACTCATTTCTAGAGCAAATATAGCCCAGGATTCCTCTCGGATTAGTGAAGTTGGCCCACCATATATATGTACATTTTTTTAGTTTTATATTTATAAATTCATTGAACCTAACGAATAAGATCTAACATGATCAAATCCAACGGTAGAAAGAAAAAAGATCTAAGGGTCCAAATTTAAAACTAACGGCTAAAGTAATTAAAAAAAATATTTTATGTGTTTCATATTCTTTCATAATGTTTCACGAGTTTTTTGGCGTCGTTTTAGTAATTTTTCAATATTTATCGGAATCTAAATATTTTTAGGTTAAAATGTTCATAAAATTAAATTATGATAGTCTATATAATTTTTTTTTTAAGTTACTTTAAGAAAAAAAAAATATCATTAATTCATTATTTAGTAATCTCAAGCTAAATTTGACCCATAAAAATTGGAGGAGAAAAACTCTTTTTAGGTTAAAACCTAAATTGTCTAGGTTAAAAATTTTAAATTTTAAGATTGGAGATTGTCTAATGGTAGGGATGCCTTTAAAGAAGAATTTCTATTATTTTTATAAAAATAATAATTAATTGTAGGGCTCACACCATATCAAATCAATTAAACATTTATTTATACACTCCCACTCCCACAACTTCCTTTAATTGAGAGCAACTTTCTCGATTTGACATTTTCTCCTTTCAATTTTCAAGTTACTGAAAGCGATGACTGGTTTTGTTTTCTAAAAACTTATGTTCAACACTCAAAGCCTGGCGGGCATGCCCTTGTCAGTTGTCATTGGGTCTCTTTGGTTCTTCCATATTTCTATCATCTCATGGACTTAAGTTGGACCAATTGATCTCAAAGCCCTTTCTGAGGCCCACTTGCAATTTTTCAAGCCTCTTTAACATTTGAATAATTAATTAAGGATAATGTTAGAGGGATCAAATTTTTTAAATCAGATTTGCAAACCCAATAATGTGGTTATAGATAATTGTTTTATTAATTAAGTGTCGATTAAATTGCTTATTCTTATTGGTGACACATCATTTAATTTGCAAATTTGATTTAAAAATTTAGTCTCCTTAGCATCCGTTAATTATTCATTTCCTTAATTAATTAGTTCATCGTACTTTTAAACCGTAGGTTTCAGAGTAAGTGTCTGTTAGTTCTAATCGGCAAGGCAGTGAGAGTGATTAATCTTTTTAATAAACTTTTTTTTTAATTTATTATTATTAAGGGGGAGTTTTGATCCGGAACGCATGAATCCTAACTATGAAAAACAAGTGATTCGTTTCACGGGTCTCACCAACTAAGAATGACAACTAACCATATATCATGGCTCCCAAGTCCATGTAAAATATAAGTCGAATATTAGTTATACTCGATTTGTTCTTGTTTGCTGCTGTCAATTCTGGGCATTGAACACCGTACATTCATGATCTTAATTAATCCCATATTGTACATAGGAGTGGACGACGGTTATGGCGGACGGGTAACTACGGTTATTTAGCCATAACCATTTAAGCTTTTACTCGTATAACCGTTTACCCGTTGGGTATTTACATAAACGGGTATACCCATACCCATAACCATTTATAAACGGTTAATCACACTCATAACCGCATACCCATTTAACCATAACCACGTACCCATTTAACCATAACCGCGTACCCGTTTACCCATTTTTAACCCGTTTACTCTTTTTTCACCCGTCTACCTATTTTTTTTAACAACTTGAAAATTAAAATGAAATTTGTCATAATTTTCTTTTTCTAACAATTAAATACCGTTATAAATACATTTAATATAAATTTTTTGTATTAACTGCAATATTATTTATGAATATATGCGATGTCTCCCAATTATTTGACGGTCAATCTATTACAAAAATCATGCATGGTTGTAGGTTAATTAATGTTCTTGTATGTGTGTGTGTGTGCGTGTGTGTGTGTGTGCGTGTGTGTATGTATGTATGTATGTAAGTACGCATCAGTCTGCTAATAAGCTAATTTGATAAATCTTTGGATTTTTATTTAGAAACATATGATCCAAGCCATTTAGTTGATTTCTAATTTTTGGGTCAAATACATATTAAAAACTCGAGGCCAATTAAATATATATACATATATATAGGTATATATGTACGCATCAGCCGACAATAACATGTTTCTAAAATCTCAAGGTAATCATTATCTTGAATTGGCCAAAGCTCCAAAAGACTCCAAAACAAAACTGTCGAACACTCTAATGCTTTAGCACATTCAATCACATATATTAAACATTGGCCCGTTCTAACAACTATATTTTTCTCTCAAGTGAGGCATATATATATATATTATGGCCCTTTATAACCAAATATATCTCGGGATACTAAACTTAGCTAGAAACTATTTTTTTTTTTTTTTT